TCCAGCCTCCTGAGTCTCTGGTTCTCAGTTCTGAGAATCAAAGCAGCAAAGGTGGTCTGGATCCAGGATCCAGCTGCCCTTAATTGTAGTGGTCCTTGGATCTATATATAGCATTTATTGGCTCTGTTCTCCTGTTCGCTTGCGACACTTGACAGAGTGGAGCAGCTAAAATTATCAGCAAATGTCCCTGTCACAAGAGACAATCGAGAGGTATTATTCACCAAACATTCAAAGCCAACGTGGTTGAGGAAGTGTCATCTCCTGGTCCCCTTGTGCTATTACCGATCAGATTCTTCTGGAAGCTTTTGAGCCCACGGATGAACCACAGCTTGTGAGAACAGAAGACTGTTGCGGGGACTGGAATCAAGTGGATCTACATGGAAAGCTCCTCCATCCACACAACCATGACCTTTAGCATCTGGATTCTGAGTTTTATTAGAACAAGAAGAACATCAGGTTGGATGGGCTTTCCAGAAATTCCTGCCTCCATGATGAAAGAAGGGGGTCTTTTGACACCCAGAAAAACTCTGTCATCTTCCACCATTTAGAGCTTAATCTAGTCATCACCTTTAGCTCAGAGCTTCTTTCTGAGTCTACTCCCCCAGGGAAAGGAATCTTGTACCCTCCCTTGGTAAGTAGCTCCACACACCCCAACAGGATCCCTTCCCCATCATACATTTTCATGATGCAGCCAGCCCCATGTCTTCATAACCTCCTCTTCAGGTCCAGCCTTCTCAAACCTTCATGGCTCCATGTGTTGCCCTAACTCCTCCTCAGGCACTTCATGCCCCTAAGAATCTAGTCAGGCTGCTTCTTAATTCCCTCCTTTACTTGTAGTTCACCCAGCTTGGGCCCGAGTCCACTTACCAGCCACTGAGGAGAGATGGAATCTTAGCAGAGACAGTGAGAATAGGAAACGGGACGAGTTTCACCAACAGAGCTCACTAAGACAAAAATAGCCTTCTCCTTTACCTCTTTTGCCCTTGCATTTTGGTTTTCTTTGATTTGCATGGTAAAGCTATTACTGAAGCTGATTGTCCAAAGGAGGGGCAAGTAGGGTATCTATTATTTCTCTTCAGTGACCCATTCAGTCCCACATAATTCCAAGACTTGCACCTTTAATGATAAAACATATGTAAGCCACTTACCACCCCTCCAGGGCGAGCTGTTCCTCTACCACATTGACCTGTGGCCCAACAGTGATGCCAGAGTCCCTTGTTAGTGTTATTAATATAAAGGCAGAAAGGAGGTATCATGACAAAGATGAAGGGACACTGATAGTCACTCATGGCTGTTTCTTAACGCTCTTGACAGCTGGTTAAGACATAACTTTATAACCTTCCTCTGACCAGGCCACAATAGATGGGCTTGAAAGAATGGGATTAAAATGTGGGTCAGAATCCCTTAAAAAAACAAAAGACTACTAGACTGGTTAAGACTGGAAGAGTCCCCAAGATTACTGCCCTGTTATATATGACAGGGCTTCAGAAAGTTCGTGGGAGATTGGAATGAAACGATAATAGATTTTTCCCATGAACATATTGAAGCTCTGTTATACTCTTTAAACCTTGAACTGAAACTAGCCCCTGAGGTCACCTTTTATTGAAATGACACATTGACTCACAAAATAAAAATTCCCACCCATGAGTACTGTGCTCCTTAAAAAAAATCACCTGTATGAGTTCAAAAGGTCAGTAATTGCTTTTAAAACAAAGATGTGAATGTAAGGGAGCTAGGGAAACTAGACTGAAGGAAACAGAACAACCAGAAAGGAAACACTAAGACTGTTCACACATTGTGAAGAAGGTAGCCTATGGCACTGTACAGTTTGAATAGAAATTGTTGAAGAGGAACCTAAAGTGCTGTGTAAAACTTCACCAAAAACACAATGAAATTTCTTTATAAAAAACACATTAACTTGCTTCTGAGGCCAGAGTCCTCCATGGTTTGTGAGTGGGGCACCTGCTTTAGAACCCTCAGGATTAACTCATTTAGTCAGCCATCAAGTGAGCACCCAGCCTTAAGTTGAAAATCTCAAGTTACCAGGAGTTCTCTGCCCCCCAAAGTAGCTGATTCCATCTTTAGACAGATGGATAATCTGGAGTAGATATAAGAGCACATGCTTTGGAACTAAATGGTACAGGATCCCAAACAGAAATAACTTGTGGATAAGTCCGTTGACTTAGCTGAGCCTTATTTTTGTCTTCTGAAAATAGAGGAATAGCACCCGTCAGGTTTGTGATAAGGATTAAATATGATGCAGTCAGAGCTGTTAACACCCAGTTGGGCCCATAATGAATACTCAACAAATGGTGGGCCTTATTACTACCTCCGATGTTTAGAATACCTCTTCCTTTTTTTTTTTTTAAGGTGTCCTGGTAGTATACTGAGTTAAGTGCTGGGTTGTTAACTGAAAAGTCAGCAGTTCAGCTAACTGAAAACCCACCAGCCAATCTATAGGAGAAAGATGTGGCAATCTGCTTCCATAAACGTTTGTGTTAAGTGCTGTTGAGTTGGTTCCAACTCAGTGATGGGTTTCCAAGGCTGTAGGTCTTTGTGGGAGCGGAAAGCCTAATCTTTCTCCCACAAAGCACCCGGTGGGCTTGAACCACAGACCTTGTGGTTCGCAGTCCAGTGCTTATCCTATAGAAGCACTGTGCTCCTTAAAGACGATAGCCTTGGAAATCCTACGGGACAGCCCTATTCTGCCCTATAGGGTGGCTATGAGTCGGAATCAACTCCAGGGATTGGTCCCTTTTTATGAGTTTTGCCTGGTTTCCAGTATGTCTTCTCCTGTGGGATAATCCTATGGTTGCTAACACACATCATACAAGTGAAATATTGCTGTGACCTTTTTCAAGCTTATCAAGGCACCTTCAGCAGGACTTTGTGCTAAATTTTCCTCCTTCCCATCCGTAATGCTTTGCTGACCATATGTGCTTGTGGTACTGCATGCCATGGTGTGAATTAAATGTCCACAGGGTCACATCGGTTTCTACACAGCTTGTCCCTGCATGGAAAGAGTATGCCAACTGCACTAGGACCTCTTCCACGTGATCCTAGGGTTCCCAGCTTTGGACAGACTCATCAGCCTGACTCAGGAGCTTCCTACCCTGAAATCCCCTTTTCTTCATGTTGCCCTTGACTGTGTACTGTCTTGACTGTTGGGGTAACTCCGTGGTGATGGGTGAGATGATGCTGCTCTCAGGTGTCAGGTGTCCTTGGTACTGAAGACAGGATGCTACAAAAGCTCTAGATATAGTTGGTAACCGATTAACCATATAATGAACTAACCCTTCAGAAGCCTCTGTTGTATATGTGTGTACTGAGGGGAAAGCTAGGACATCTGCAGAGGAGAGACAACGTGGGGTAAACTGATGCCTTTTTTAGGTCCTCTCTTTTCCTTTTATTTGTTCACCCTGCAAACATTCGTTCATCACCTGCCATGTACCTTGTATGGTGCCAGTAGCCCCTTTACCTCTGAAGTAGAAAAACGCATGTCGTTCAGCATTTCTTTCCCTGAAAAAGAATTGCACAGAAGCTAACTCTTTGAGATACAGTACCCCAATAGCAAATAGAGGAGAAGTTGAGAGCCCAAAGGACTGGAGCCCTGCTGTTCCAGCCAGCCGCTAGCTCACTCAACAAGCACCTTTGGTTTTTTAATTGAAAACACTCATGATGACATGGGCGGAGAGTTGCCACTGCCTCTTGGTGGTCATTCCACCAGCACCAATTCCATCCCTGGAGAAATGCCTTTGTTCTCACTCCCTCCAGGCTTCTCTGAGAATACACCACCACCACCACCACCACCACTCCTAACAGCTCTGCCTCCCATCCATCTCTCACTTCTCCAGCGGAGTCAAAACCCCACTAAACCCAAGGGCAAGCTCAGGATGGTTTTTGTTTTTTTTAATCTTTTTTATTTTTAACTCTTGTTTACAACCCATACACCTTTGGGCCATAAGGCGCCTCCACTAGTTTCTCCCTTGCGCTGGGGTTCCCCATGAAAACTCCTTGTTCTTCTCCTTTTCCTTTTACTTGCCCGCACATCTATTTCCACAGAACTTTGCAAAGAGCTCTGGGAGACAGGTGAGGCTTAAGCAATTGGGATCCACTTTCATGACCCCTTCAACAGGGAGTTAACGCACCGCCCTGACAATGCCAGTCTCTGGGAGCCTCCTGGCTTTTCATGCTGCATTCATTTCATTGAATCCAGATTGGGGACTTGTAAGCAGCCTAGTTGAATTGTAAATCACCTCTTTCATCTTGGCTGTCATTCTTCCTCTCACTTTCCACTCTCAGAATCTCACATCCAATTAACACCCTCCTCCCCAGCCCCCTTCCAAAGTCATTAGTGAGGAGGCAGAGTGGTCTTGGCCCCAGAGTGATTTCCTGTCATCTCTGCTCATTAATTCTCTCTATGTCTTTGCTAAACCATTAATAACCCTCCTCGCATCTCTGACTGTTCATCTGGGTCTTTGTGGCTTCATCCCAGCTCCTTCTCTCCAGGGTCCCAAAAAGCAGGCTGTCTGTCCTGTGGTCCCATGCCTTCTCTTTCTTCCACATCCCTGTCTGGGGGAGGAGGGGAGGAGGCAGAAGGACTGCTGCGGAGATGGCCTGTACTGGGGCCCCCCACATTGGCCTCCCAGATGTTCAGGGAGTGGACCCCTTACTACTCAGATACCCCTTCCCCAGCTGGTAGGACAGAGAGGTTTGCTATACTCGAGGGAAGCTGGGCTCCTCTTGGCAGATTCTTTGGGAACATAGAGCTCACATGCTGGTTGGGCCCAGGAGCCCTGAGCTTCCTAACACCTCTCTTAATGATGCCCATACCAGCTGGGGAGGGGGGTGGGGGTTTCAAGTGGGTGGGCCCAGGGCTGAGGGCCTCTGAGAACACTCAAGGGGCATGATGACATTTCTCTCCAGCCTGACAGTTTTAGCTTCGCTGGGTCAGCCCTCTCTGGGGAGGAGACTGAGGTGCTTGTTCTGTCGTCTTTCAGCCCGAGGAGTTGCAGAAAGAACACCCAGCTTCATGTATCCCCAGGGCACTGTGAGCAGTCAGATGGTGCTTCGTGGCATGGACCTTCTGCTGGAGTGCATTGCTTCCGGGGTGTATGTACAGGCTGCCCCCTCTCCTTGGGCCACTCTCTAGGACACTAGGGTGGGGGCTGTCTGCCACATTTTTTTGCCACATTTAGGGGCCATACCAGTAGTGAAGACACCCTGAGTGGTGTAGCTAGAGGTGGGCGGTTCAAACCCATCCAGAGGCACCTCAGAAGTCAGCTTTGTGATCTGCTTACGTAAGGTCATAGCCTTGAAAACCCTATGGAGCAGTTGTACTCTGCACACATAGGATCACCAAGGGTCTGAACCAGCTAACAGCCACAAACAACAATCAGTACAGCCCTGGTGGATTAGAGCATCTCCCTTACATTCTTGCCATCTCCTGTTTTGCCCAATGATGTGTTAGAAATCTTGTATGTGTATGAGAATGCTGTGTGACCCCAGGCTCCCTGTGGTCCTCAATCCCCTTCTGTGTAGCAAAGATCAGCTGTTGGAGTGCAGGAATTCTCCTGGGCCCAAGTATACTTTGAGAGACTGGGCATTCCAGACTCCAAGGAAGCATTAACAGGGCCACACTTAGTGATAAGTCTTTTGTTGCTTGCTTTATCTCCCTCCTAGCCCAACACCAGACATCGCATGGTATAAGAAAGGTGGGGACCTCCCATCGCACAAGGCCAAGTTTGAGAACTTTAACAAGGCTCTGCGCATTACCAATGTCTCCGAGGAGGACTCTGGGGAGTATTTCTGCCTGGCCTCCAACAAGATGGGCAGCATCCGGCACACGATCTCGGTGAGAGTAAAGGGTACGTTGTGTGTATTTCTCATTATGATTATTTTGCCACCCACCAAATTCTGTGACCACCTCTTCCTTCTTAGGATGACTGGACACTGGCATAAGTGGGGAACCTGCCAACACACTAGTTAGTAGCAACCATGACCTTCCTCAGATGGTGTCACAGTTGTGTGTGAGAGAGAGAAAGACTGAAGGGAAGAAGGAAGGGAGGACTAAGGGCAGGAGATCCACCCCAGTCACTGACCAATTTTCCTTTGTGCCCGGGTGAATTTCCTCCTGTGGCCATTTAGATCTCCTTTGTTTCTTTCATTGTGAATTCCCATTCATAGTGTGTCGTCCTAGCCCTGTACTATGTTTGTGTGTTTGATGCTCTGTTCCTCTTTAGAGAGTGGGGACATTATATTTTTTTAATGACTTCCTCCTGCAAATACAAAGATGCCTGGCCAGCTGTCCCAGGCAATAGATGTCTCACCTTTATGGGAGCACAAGTCACTTCTCAACCTGGGACGGCATGGATGACTGAAATGGTGAAGTCCAAAACCACAGAAGGAGCATTTTTTGAGCATCCAGCCAGTTGATCTCATGACTTTGGTTTCAGCACCACTCTTAAACCAGCTGGTCCTTCACCCTTGATTTGGAGTATGGAGTTCTATGAGAATCTGATCCAAAGGTCAAGGATCTCAGAACAGTGCACTTGCCCATTGTTGTTGTTGTTGTTGTTAAGTGCCTTCGAGTCGGTTCCAACCCATAGCGACCCTGTACAGGGTTTCCGAGGGTGTAAATCTTTACAGGAGTGGAAAGCCTCATCTTTCTCCCACGGAGTGGCTGGTAGTTTCGAACCGCTGACCTTAAGGTTCGCAGCCCGATTCATAACCACTACGCTACAAGAGCACTTGCCCATACATTCACAAAATTTTGCAAACAATTGACGGGGGTGGCCAGCCAGCATTCAGTCAAAAAGATGATCTGTTGTTGCCGAGCAACAGAATCTAGGGGATTCCTGGGAAATCCAGGGGGCCCAACAAAGTGCCCACCTTACCACCAGCCATGGAAGTGGTTTGAAACCTCCATGCACATTAGCCACACTTATGCACCTTTAAATCATCAGCCACCCAGGCCTTCCCTGGAGAATCCAGATTAAGAAGGCTAAGACTGGGCTCTAGTGTCTGCATTTTTTAAAAAGCTCTGCAGGGGATTCTAATGAACAGCCTGAGTTTGGAGCAAATGCCCTGTGAACTTGAAGTAGCCACATCATCAACTGTGCTGTCACACTGACCCAGTACAGACTGGACCAAGGGGTCGGTGAGGATGAGCCTATGGGACAGGTGGCGATCTCCTGGTGCTGGGACCTGGGGCTCCTGCCTTACTAGAGGAGCCCGTTGGGTTTCGTCTACCTGCTCATTGCCATCTAACTCCCCTGCCTGTACCTGTCCTTGACTTGTAGCTGCTCCTTACTGGCTGGATGAACCCAAGAACCTCATTCTGGCTCCTGGTGAGGATGGGAGGCTTGTGTGTCGAGCCAATGGGAATCCCAAGCCCACTGTCCAGTGGATGGTGAATGGGGAACCTTTGCAATGTAAGTACTGAGCTGTTATCCCACCAACCTCTTGCTCATCAAAAACACCAGACTCCCACCACTGTGAGCCAGCCCGGGTTTTACCAAAGGTGGAGGGAAAGAGTAGCTCAGAGCAGCCCATCTCTTAGGATTTCTGAAGACACAGGAGACCATCCTCTTGCTGAGAGAGAGCCACTCTTGTTTCGGGGTTTCTGCTTTCTTAGGGTTTTTTTTATTTTTTATTAAATCTCTGTTTTCTGCTCATTCACTTCTGGGGTTCTGGCCAAACTGCAGATTCAGTTTAGGGCTCTGAGTGATGACTGGGGCTTTTAAAAGGTAGAGGAAAGGTCAGTACCCCATTGCCATTGGTTACCCAAGTTCCACTGTGCTGAGGACAAAATAAGAGGCAGAGTTTTGCAACAATATGAAAGATTGTGGTTAGGTATGAGGAAGAACTTTCCCATGAGAGCAGAGATGTAATAGTGCAGTTATTGAGTGTGTACAGACTTTGGGAAGATTCAGTCCTGCCTATATGGGTGGGATAGGTGACCCCCCAAGGCCAGAGGTCTTAGCCATATGTTCACATCATATTCCCTCCAGTTTCCTTTACTTTTGAACATGTCTGGCCATTGTAATTAGTCATATTGATTAAATGGGACAAAAAGCAGATGAAGAGAACACAGAATCTAACTCAAGAACAGCAACCGATAGAAGCAGGTAGAGTGATAGAGAGGTAGAGAAACAAACAGAGCCAAGGGTGAGACTGAAGACATTCACTGTGTGAATTGTACTAGGTGCTGTATCATACTATCTCTTTCATCTCAGTTGCTTATAAGGAAGAAGCAAGGCTCTTATGGGACAGTGAATTGCCCAAGAATATACAGCTGCTAAATGGTGAAGCTGTGGGTTGTGTAGAATTTCACAGCCCTGTAGTTTCTAGTATTAAACATTCAGTTTCCTCAGGAAATATTGCCCTCCTGGATACATGCCGAAGGAGCCTTGGTAGCATGGTGGTTAAGCAGTCATCTGCTAACAGATGGTTCGAACCACAAGTAGCTCCGTAGGAGGCAAGATGTGGCAGTCAGTTTCTGTAAAAATTTACAGCCTTGGGAACCCTATGGGGTAGTTCTCCTCTGCACTGTAGGGTCGCTGTGAGTCAGAATCAACAGGATGGCAGTGGGTTTGGTTGGTGTTTGGGATCTTTACAGATCCATGCAGAGATGTGGACACTTCTGCCTTTGATGGGTCTCCCATCCTAATAGCACTCTGAGGATAGAGCAGGCAGAAAGCTCCAAATGCTACATCAACATTAAGGTAATTCAGATTTCAACTCACTTGTCACCTTCCCCAAGGAGCACTTAATGGAAGTGAGAGGGAAGAAGGTTGGTTCCATGATAAGTGCAGGACAAGGAAATGTTGAAATTGCTGGCATTGCCTTTCTCTGTGCCTTTTTGCTGAGCAGAGACTCTAGGAAGGATGATAAGGATGCTGACTTCATCTTCATTTACCTTCTGCTGATTCCCCAGTTCTGGGCTCAGAACTGCTATCAGTAGAGTGGTGCCCAGGAGGCCAGACTCCCGGGTTCTGCTTCTCCTGAATTGCCTGTAGGTCTGAGTGATCCTGGATGAGTTAGTGGGCTCCACAAACTACAACTTCCATTCCTACTTCAGCATTTCACAGAGCAAAGTCACCTTCTAACGGTTAAAAACAGTACAAGTTCAGTTCTTTACAATTCTAGAAAACTTATTTCTGTAGCTCATTATCGTTCTCTTAAGATAGTTCTCCTAAGAGCCGGGGAAAATGGGAGTGATTTTCCCCATGTTACAGATGAAGGAAATGAGGCCCAGAGGGATTTATTGATTTGCCCCAGTCCCGTCTATACCTCAATCTCACTTCTCCTTGTCCTAGGCCAGCAGTAAGGAGAGAACGGTGAGAGGAAGTCGTTGTCTCACTAACTAGCATATACTTCTTGGGAAGACCAGGGTAACTTTGGCTAATAAAAGGATTCTTTCCATTTTCAACAGGAGTTGCCTTATGGGTTTTACTTTGGGGATGTTTGGAGAATGCACAGAAGATGGGAAGGTGGCAGGTCTCTTCCATTTGTATATCACTCTTTTTCAAAACATTTCAGTGTATGTACATTGAATTAAAATAATAATAGCAGTTATTATTGTAATGCATGTTATTATTATGTTCTGAGCTCTTTGCTAATCACTTTTTACATGTACAAAATCTCATATCATCCTCATAAAAACCCCATGAGGTAACATATTATCCTGACTCTATCTATGCACATAAGGAAACTGAAGCTTAGAGAGATTACATAGTGCTAATAAGTGAATGGGGGCAGACTCATTGACAACCTGCGATATGCAGATGATACAATCTTGCTTGCTGGAAGCAAAAAGGACTTTAAATACTTATGACAACCAGAGACCACAGCCTTTAGTGTGGATTGCACCTCAATGTAAAGAAAGCAAAAATCATCACAACTAGACCAGTAACATCATGGTAATGGAGACAAGATTGAAGCTATCAAAGGTATCATTTTACTTTGTTACATAATCAACATATTGTAACTAAGAAAGTAAACAACATATTGCACTAGGAAAATTTGCTGCACAAGACCTCTTTCAAGTGTTTAAGAGCACAGATAGTGGTTTAAGGACTAAGGTATGCCTGATCCAAGCCATGGTATTTTCATTTGCCTCGTATGCTTGTGAAGTTGGACAATGAATAAGGAAGACCTTAGAAGAACTGATGCATTTGTTTTATGGTGTCGGGGAAGAATATTAAAAGTTCCATAGACTGCCAAAAGAACAAACAAAACTCTGTTGGAAGAAGTGCAGCCAGAATGTGCTTAGAAGTTAGAATGGCCAGACTTTGTCTCTCATACTTTGGACATGTTATCAGAAGGGACAAAATCCCTAGAGAAGGACATTATGCTTGGTATAATGGAGGGTCATCGAAAAAGAAGCAGACACCATCCTCCACAATGAGATGGATTGACATAGTGGCAAAAGCATTGGGCTCAAACATAACAATTGTGAGGATTGTGCAGGACCAGGCAGTGTTTCATTCTGTTGTGCATAGGATCGCTGTGAGTCAGAACTGACTCGATGGCACTTAACAACAAAAGTAAAGAGATATTGTTAAAATTTAAGCTCCTTTCTGTTTTCAAATATGTATTCTCTCAGCACCCCAGCCCAACTGTTACATAGATCAAGCTGTAAGTCTGGTTCCATTGGAGAGATGGAGAAATAGACTCTGAAAGGTGGGCAATAGGCCTCAAGGGCACACAGTTAGGAAGTGGTGGAGCTAGAAGCCAGGTCTTCCGGGAACCACCCTCCTACTTCAGTAGTTCCTTCACAGCACCCTGATCATACCAAGGAGCTTGGTCAGTGTCCCAAATGCTCTTCACTCTGTCCTCCCCGTTTCTCACGAGGAGCATCTCATCTCTATCTGTAGCTGCACCACCCAACCCCAACCGTGAGGTGGCTGGGGATACCATCATCTTCCGTGACACCCAGATCAGCAGCAGGGCTGTGTACCAGTGCAACACCTCCAATGAGCATGGCTACCTACTGGCCAATGCCTTTGTCAGTGTGCTTGGTGAGTATACCTCCATGGGCTTAGTTCTATCCTGGGACCCACTTTGTTCTTTGGGAGATTAGCCAGGCTAGGTAGAGACAACGGAGTGGTGGGATGGAGGTAGCATGGAGACTTGAAGATGAGCCTTGTGGGAGGACTTAAAATTCAAAGAGCTGTATGTATAGAGTCCATCTTTGTCTCCCCGCTTTCCTGATGAGAGGAAATGGATGAGTCTTCTCTCTGGTTGAGTGTCCCTGGATCTCAGGATAGTAAGTGGTTCTGAGTTATATTTGCTGCATTCATTCAGTAGGGAGAGGATGATGGGAATGGGTAGTTAGGAGATGTCTTAGTGGAGGGGCAAGTGCAGAACCTATTGCATACTTTGGGGAAACTCTTTGTAAAAGCTTTGTAGGGTAGGTTGAAGGCAGAGGGATAAATTTGCTCACCTAATCCTGAGAGGGTTCTCAAAGGAGCAAGTGTGTAGGGGAAGGTATCTTGGTGCCTGTATGTGCAGATAAAACTGAGAGGGAAGAAATGGAGGCTCAAGATTGGTTCTCTGGGAATTTCAGATGTGCCGCCTCGGATGCTGTCACCCCGGAACCAACTCATTAGGGTGATTCTTTACAACCGGACACGACTGGACTGCCCATTCTTTGGGTCCCCCATTCCCACACTCCGATGGTAAGTTCCAGAAACCAGGCTCTCTCCAGCAAGGGGTATTTGTCTCATCCTTCTTATGCCTTTACTGACTCATAATATTTGTCAAGACCCAGGAACTGGGTGGCATGTACAGTTAAGCACTCAACTACCGACTGAAAAGTTGACAATTCATACACACCCGGAGGTGCCTTGGAAGAATGACCTAGTGACCTACTTTCAAAAGATCCAGCCGTGAAAACTTAAATGGAGTGCTGTTTTACTTGGCATCACACGGGGTTGCCATGAGTCAGAGTTGACTTGACAGCAACTCATTTGATTTAGGGGGAGGGGGTCTTTCAAGGGTCTAAGCTGGAAGGACCTTGGCAGATCCTTTGGGTCAACCCCTCATTGTACAGAGGAGGAAACTGAGGCTCAGAGAGGGACAGTGACGGCCAGAGTCACCCAGTGGTTGGCGGCAGGAGGCTCTGTCATGAGGTGGCCACGCTCGCTCCCCCGGGCTGGTCCTTTCTCATTATTATGCTCTGTGTCTCACTGCTCTGTTGTGAGGTTTAAGAATGGGCAGGGGAGCAACTTGGATGGTGGCAGCTACCATGTCTATGAGAATGGCAGTCTGGAAATTAAGATGATCCGCAAAGAGGACCAAGGCATCTATACCTGTGTTGCCACCAACATCCTGGGCAAAGCTGAAAACCAGGTCCGCCTGGAGGTCAAAGGTAAGGGGCCCTGTTCTCAGGTAGAAGTGTGGTGTGGGCTAAGAATACCGTCTCCTTGAAACCATCCACATGCCACAGACATCAGAAAATCTTCCACCTCTCATGTTTAATCCTGTGCATCTGCATACCTCCCCAAGGCTCCCAGCTGACCTGGGGCTGGAAACACCAAATCATTTTCTAATCAGCCTGGTCAATATGGAATACGAAGGGAAACCTGCTACCCATCCCAAATCCCCATTGCCACCCAAGAAGATACAGCTTAGAGTCGGGAGCCAGGCAGATAGGACGTCTGGATGATTTATATTTGAAATACCCACACCAGGACTCCCTTCCATTCGTATGACTGATACTGTTCCTGCCACCTTCCATGGTTGGCCCCAGGCTTCCAGGGTATGGATGTCACACTGTGGGACCACATGGGATGGTGAACAGAGAATGAGTCAGTGAAGGGACCTTGAACCTCCCCTTAGACCCCACTAGGATCTACCGGATGCCTGAGGATCAGGTGGTCAAGAGGGGTACCACAGTGCAGCTGGAATGTCGAGTGAAGCACGACCCGTCCCTGAAACTCACTGTCTATTGGCTGAAGGACGACGAGCCACTCTATGTTGGAAACAGGTTTCCGTTCTTCTCTTTTCCTTCTCCCTTTCTCTTGATCCCCTCTTGGTCCACACTGCATCCTAAAGTTAGCTTCCCAACCTTGCATCCATGCCTGCAGTTCTCCCCTTAGCCAGTAGAGGGCAGGGCTGCCCAGAACCATCTCTGCGTGCTGGCCTCTCAAAATTGTTATAGGTGGTGATGCTTCCCACCTCTGGTTGCTCTCTGAAATCACCTAGGGAGCTTTTAAACATACCCATGCCTGTCCCTCTTCTAAGGAGCCCTGGTGTCACAGTGGGTTAAGTGCTGGCTTTGAATCCACCAGCTGCTTCATGGGAGAAACATGAGGCAGTCTGCTCCTGTAAAGATTACTGTTTAGTGCCATAAAGTCGGTTCTGACTCACAGCGACCCTGTATAGGATTTCCGAGGAGAAACTGGTGGGTTTGAACCACTAACCTTGCAGTTAACAGTCCAGTGCTTATCCTACAGTGCCACATGACGACTCAGGAATCCTGTGAGGCAGTTTGTTCTGTCCTCTAGGGTCGCTAAGGGTTGGAATTGCCTTGACAGCAGTGGTTTAGTTTGGTTTGGCCCCCTTGCTCCTCCTCCTCATTCATATCTCATTAGTGTTGGGGTAGAGCCCAGGTACTAGGTTCCCCCCGGGTATTTGTGATGGGCAGTCAGGGTTGAGAGCCTCTGATCTACTCTTGGCTGTACCCACTTCCTCCTCAGGGACAGGTTGGGCAGAGTCACCAGCTGCATGCAGTGACCATGCTGACTGTTTGCAGGGGCTGTGCCCTGGGGTTGGGAGCAGGCATGCTGGTCCTCCACTGGTGCCCACAGCTTTGTAGTCCCTCCCTGCTCTGATGCCTTCCACCCTCTGTGGGGACAGTCCAGAAACACCCAGACACACAACTGGACTGGAGACAGCTGGAAATGGGGGCAGAGGAGGAGACCGTTCGACTTGTGAGGGAGCAGAAGGGACAATGGTACCCTACTTTGGGAGGGGTGCACAGCATAAGAAAGGCACTGAGATACAGTGCAGAGTCTGAGGGCAGTGGACCGAGTTCTGGACCACTTTATCCCCAACCCACTTTCTTCCCCCTTCATGAAACACCTCAAGTGCTCAAGGTGACGGTGAAGTCCTTGGCCTCTCCGAGCACTGAATGGTTCTCATGTCCCGGCTTAGCCTTCCACCCCTTCCCCACATGTCACCACCAACCCTTTCCCACATGTCACCACTGACCCCACCCCACACTGGTGCCTTTGCAGGATGAAGAAAGAAGACGACTCCCTGACAATCTTTGGTGTGGCAGAGCGAGACCAGGGCAGCTACACATGTGTTGCCAGCACTGAGCTGGACCAGGACCTAGCCAAGGCCTACCTCACCGTGCTAGGTAACTGCCGCTGTGCCGACCGGCACTGACCTCCCTCCCGTGGCCCACCCTAAAGCCAGAGAACAGAGGGTCTGGATGGTTCCAAGGACCATCCTGTGGTCAGCAGGCCCATGTGAAATGGTGAGCGCTTGCCCTTTGATCTAAGGGTCAGGGGGCTGCCTCTTTCAGAACAAACTCCTCAGGACAGGTTTCCTCCTAAATTGGATAATGTTATTATTGTTGTTGCTGTAGTTAAGTGTCACCCAGTCTCTTCTGACTCATAAAGACCCTGTTTAGGGTTTCCGAGGAGCAACTGGTGGGTTTGAACCACCGCCATTGCGGTTCAAACCAACCTTGTGGGTCAGTGCTTATTTCCAAATCCTCAGCTGAAAAGTACCTGATTAATAGAGAGAAGGTGGGGAGGGATTTCTTGTTGTGATCATTTCCTTTACAACTAACGCAGTAGCACTAAGTCCATTAAAACTGTTCCTAATTAAAGCAAAACTGAGTTTATACGTGTCCTTCCATTGTCCTTCCAACCTCTGCTAGCCCAGCTCCCTCTCCCACCTGCCCCTGGCTTGTGATGGGAAGTCACACTGTGCTGTATGTTCAGCAAGTTCACCCCTATCTTTTCTCACCCCGGTATCCAGGCCTGGTGGTAAATACCAGGAGGTTTCAAAAAGTTCGTGAAAAAATTGAATTAAAAGAGAATGAAATTCTTCCACGAACTTTTTGAAGCCTCCTTGTACTAAATCATCACCAGCTAAGAGGAAGGTAACCCTGCTTTCCAAGGAAGCAGTTCTGCAGCTGTCTCCTCCTCCCTCGATCTTCTCCCTGGGCACCTGCTTCCCTGGTATTGATCCTCTCAGCCCATAGCAGTGAGCCCAGAGACTAAAGTTGGCATGGAAAGAAAACAGACTCTGCTGCCAATTATGGCAAAAAACACAAGATGACATCTATGAGGGATGGGGGGAACTCTCCCTGGGAGGAGGGTAAAGCCATACATGGAACCCCTCTGCCCAGGGGCAGTTGTTGAAACTTCGGCTATCTAGTCCCATTCTCACAGAACACCTGTAACCCTGGATACCCGCTAACCTGGTTATAACCTGTCTTACCTTTGCAGCTGATCAGACCACTCCAACTAACCGTTTGGCTGCTCTACCCAAAGGTAATTGGTACTAATCACAGACCGACCCGAAAGGGTGCTGTCTAGGAGGGAGGTGTTGAAGGCAAGGATGTGCCTTGTAGTTTCCTCTGTGACACTCCCTTCCCCCTGCTGCTCACACCTCACACCGTTGGCCAAGTTTGACCTTCTTCAAGTATCCCAGGTTCACCCCTTTGACCCCTAACCCATCTCTACTCTGGGTCTTGCTCCTTTGCAGGGAACATTGAATTGTCTTCTGTTGAGCTCAGAAGCCCTTGTTTGCCATCTCACCTGCATCTCTTAGCTTTGCCCACGCTCACCACGCCCTTGGGGTAACCCTGTTTTCTTCCCCCATCTGATCTTGGAAGTGTTTAAGGTCTAGTCAGGAAAGCCCACTTAAACTTTGAGTTTTCAGTAGATCCATCTCTTTGTAGCCTCCTCACATCTATATGACTATACACCTGTTTCCTACCTACACGCACACATAAACGAGGGCTTGTGAGACCGCCTTCCAAGCCTTTCCATTAACCCGCCGGATTATGAAAATCACTGGTTCTGGGAGGCAGAATGAGGAAAAGTTCTTGTCTCTCCCACCACTTAGTAGATGAATGGCCTTATCCCCAGGGCAAGATGGCATTTATACTTGTTAAAGAAATTCCAGCCAAGACTGGGGTCCCTAAAAGGTGCCACCCCTCTTTTTGGAAGTCATGGGAGCTCCTCTATCTTGCTGCCCATCACTGGACTTCTAGGCTAAACCTCATTTGCCTCCCTGGCCTCGCTCCTCTTTCTGTCCCCTACCCCCACCTCCCTAATCTGTTGTCCCCTCACTCCGCATTCCAAACACCTTCCTGGGCTCCTGCCCCTCCGAACCTCAGCACAGGAAACTGAGAGAGTATTTCACAGTCCTCACCAGCATCCTAAATGTTGTCATCATGGGTCTAATAAAGAGGGAAGCTTTTTTTTTTTTAAATGTTATATTATGAATTATATAATAGTTTGCATGAGAGAACTTTAGTTTTACATTCATTGTATCGTATATAGTTTCATTGCCATGGTTCCAATCTCCACCATGCATCATCAACTGACCAAAGGGTATACCCTATAAACCCACCCCCTACATTCCCCTCCCCTCCTCCCCCCCCAGTCTTCAGCACACAGTCCCTCTCCCTCTCTGGATCCAAAGAGAGGGGAGCTTTTTCTTAATGTTGGCACTCGAAAAAATATTTACAGTAATGGGGTAGGTCGTTCCTAATTCTTTCTGTTCCCCACATGATCTTTTCTAATGCCTTCCTCCATAGTCTTTGATGTTCTTTTGGGAGGGGGCTGGAATTGATTCTTTCTTGGCCCCTGAGGGAAGGGATATTCCCTGGGCTGACCCTAAGCCTGTCAGGGACCTGCCTGCTTGGGCCAGGCTCTGACTCCGGAATACTGCGTGATAAGTTCTTCTGCTGCCAGGACGGCCAGACCGACCCCGGGACCTGGAGCTCACTGACTTGGCTGAGAGGAGCGTGAGGTTGACCTGGATCCCGGGGGATGATAACAACAGCCCCATCACAGGTCAGTTCAGGGGCCATGCATTCCAAGTCTAGAAGAGAGGAATGTTAGCAGCCTCAAAGCATAAGGCTTCCCACTTGATATGTGCCCTGGGCTATTTGCAGAATGCATGCAGACCTCAGTTTCCCTTCTGTGTCTTGGGAAGCTGACTGAGTTTACTGGGAACTGAGGAGGAAGAACACAGCTAACTCATTTCCTGAGACAGCTCCATTTTCCTTAACCACTCAGACTATGTCATCCAGTTTGAAGAGGACCAGTTCCAACCAGGGGTCTGGCATGACCATTCCAAATTCCCAGGCAGTGTTAACTCAGCTGTCCTCCAGCTGTCCCCATATGTCAACTATCAGTTCCGGGTCATTGCTGTCAATGAGGTTGGGAGCAGCCACCCCAGTCTCCCCTCCGAGCGCTACCGAACCAGTGGAACATGTGAGTACTTGATGCTAACAGAGAAGGCTCTAGAACCAGGCACCCTGGGTTCCCATTGAGTTCTCCCAGCTCCCAGTCTTTGGGCAAGTGATTTACCGTCTCCAAGTCTTGTCCTCATCTATGTAGAAGATAAGGAAATCTGTATCATGGGGCTGTTGTGAGGATTACATGTGACAATGTATCAGCACTCTGTGCATTTTCATTGCCATTATTGTTATTATGAATATTATGACTAAGAATTCCTGATGATCTGCTTTCAAAGGGAGGGTGATGGCAAAGATTGATAGCAGAAGTATATAATCTAGTGTTGTATCAGATTCTCATTCCTAACATGTGTGGGTCATTTTTGGAATTTTGAACTCACACCTGCTCATAGAAGACAAAGAAACCCCCATTGTTGAATGGCAGGTTGAAGCAGACCAATATCAGACCTATAGAGTGCTTAATCCGTGAAGTCAGTAAACCACACTGTGTTGATGGTATTAATGTCTCAGTGTGAATGCCTTATAATAAATGCTATCTGAAATCAGTCCTTCTTTAGAGGATTTATTAGACAGGAAGGCCCGCAATGCACATGAGAAAAAGACAAAGCAAACTCAGTTCCATACGGGATTGTTGTAGGTGCCCTCAAGACAACTGCTACTCATAGCAGACCCATGTGACAGAGGAGAACTGCCCCCATGGGGTTTCTAGGCTGTCATCTTTATAGGAGCAAATCACTAGATCTTTCTCCTGAAGATCTGCTATGTGGGTTCGAACTGTCACCTTAACCATGGGCCATCAGGGCTCCTCACATATGGGATAGAGGGAACAGATAGGTTCTGATCAAAGACAGCGTAGAGAAGGGGTCTGTCAGTGGAGAGGACAGGTTGCTTACCATGCCCTGGTGAGGCACAAATTGGACTTGAACTGTTGTGTCCATTATTGGGTTCCAGCCCCTGAGTCCAATCCCACGGACGTGAAGGGAGAGGGGACCAGGAAGAACAACATGGAGATCACGTGGACGGTAAGATTCGCTCCCAGTAACACCACCCCCCACCCCCATGGCTCCTGCTCACCTGGTGGTGTGTACCTGAGGGCTCTTCCCCTTAATATCCCTGAGACCCCAGCAACCACAGTGTGGTTTCAGCTACCTGGTTGGTTTTGGTGGCCACCTTTTTCCAAGAAACCTCACTCTTCTCTGAGGTGAGCATCCAGAAGCCAATCAGGAGAAAAGTCTAAGAACCAGAGGAAAGACAAAGCAGGGTGACCAAGGAACATAGACTGCCAGTCTGACACCAGTCATGGAGAATGCCTGCAAAATAGATACACTTCTTTGGGGATCCTTTCTTTGAGGTTGTTGAGGTGAAGGAAAGCCTGAGATGTTCTGGGTGAGGGAATGAGTTAGATGGCTTGAAAGACTGTCTTTGGTTCAAGATTACAAAATCCCATCAGCATGTTGGCTCACTTGCTCCATCTTCCAAAGCAGAATTAAGATATGTGGTTATACCAGGGAAAGTGAAAAAAATTATTGCTACAAAATCATAGAAACCTTTATTAAACAAAAATATCAAAATAGGAAGCTCTTGTTTCTTGAAATATTCTCCATGTACATCTATACATCTGAAGGTGCCGTTTCCATCTCTCTAACCCTTCCCTGAAGAAGTCTGCACTCTTCAATTTATACCATATCAACACAGCTGTTTTGGCATCCTGAAAAGACTCAAATCATGTTAAATTTCAATGTCCTTTACTTTAGGGAACAAAAAGAGGTCTGAAGGGACAAGATCAGGGTTGAAGGATGGATGGGGCAAGGTTTCCCAACAAACTTCCCCTAGGAGCAGGTGCAGTGGCGTGATGGAAAAATTTCCTTGGTGCAACTTTTCTGTTTTCTTAAAACTTCTTCCTAATAAGCCCCTGTGGTCATCCTGTATCCTTCAAAAAAATATATAAAGGTTTTCCCTTAGGAATCCAAAACCACAGGTATCATAACCTTCTGAGCATCTTGAGTTAAATTGGCTCAGCAGATCCCCTCAGATAACACTGCTTTTATTGGCCTCTTTTTTTTTTTTTTTTTTTAAGGCTCTAGGCGTCCTGGTGTGGCACTGAAGATTAGCACTAGACTGCTAAGCCAAAGGTTGGCTGTCCAAACCCACCAGCCACTCCTCAGAAACCCTATATACAGTGTTGCTATGAGTTGAAACTGACGTGACAGCACTTAACAACAATAACAATGAGACTTAAGACAAATGTATTGCTGAGAAAACTTGTCAGCAGCCATTCATTAATAACAGAGATATATTTAAATACATTTTGTTTGGAATAAATTTGTGCATATATGAACTGGACCACAGTTGTTGTTGTTAGGTGCCATCAAGTCAGTACTGACTCATAATGACCCTGTACGTAGTAGAATGAAATACGGCTCGATCCTGGGCCAGCATCACAATTGTTGCTACACATGAGTCCATTGCTGCTGCCACTGTGCCAATCCATTTCACTGGGGGTCTTCCTCTTTTTCTCTGATCTGCTACTCACTTTACCAAACGTGACATCCTTCTCCAGAGACTGGTCCCTTCTGACAATATGTCTGAAGTATGAAAGACAAAATCTGGCCATCCTGGCTTCCAAGGAGCATTCTGGCTGTACTTCTTCCAACACATACTGGTTTGCTTTTTTGGCAATTCATGGTACTTTCAGTATTCTCCTCCAATTGTTATTGTTGTCAGGTGCCATTGAGCCACTACTGACTCATAGCGACCTTATGCACAGCAGAACGAAACACTGCCCGAACCTGTGACAACCTCACTATTGTTGCCACACTTGAGCCCATTGATGCTGCCTCTTTGCCAGTCTCCTCCAATAGCATAACTCAAATGCATCAGTTCTTCTACGATCTTACTTATTCACTGTCCAACTTTCACATGCGTATAAGGTTATTGAAAATACCATGGCTTGGGTTAGATGCACCTTACTCATCAAACTGACATCCTCATATCTTTGCTTTTCAACACTTTAAAAAGGTCTTGTCCAACAGATTTGCCTAATGTAACACATCATTTGATTTTTTGACTGCTGCTTCCATGAGTGTTGATGGTTGATTCAAGCAAAATGAAGTCTTTGACAACTTCAATCTTTTCTCCATTCATATGGATGTTGTTTTTTGGTCCAGTGGTGAGGGCTTGTTTTCTTTACATTGAGGTGCAACCCATACTGAAAGCTGTGGTCTTTGATCTTCATCAAAGAAGTATTTTAAGTCTTCTTCACGTTCAGCAAGCAAGGTTGTATCATCTGTTTATCACAGGTTAATGAATCGTCCTCCAATCTGGATGCCATATTTTCCCTCATATAATCCATCTTCTCTGATTATTTGCTCAGCATACAGATTGAATAAGTAGGGTGAAAGAATACAACCCTGGCACATATCTTTCCTAATTTTATGCCATTCAGTGTTTCCTTGTTCTGTTCGAACAGCTGCCTCTTGATCTATATACCAGTTCCTCATCAGCACAATTAAGTGTTCCATATTACTCATTCTTTGCATTGTTGTCCATAGCTTGTCATAATCCACACAATCAAAAGCCTTTGCTTAGTCAATAAAGCACAGGTAAGCATCATCTTTCTGTTATTCTCTGCTTTTTAGCCAAGATCTATCTGACATCAGCAATAATATCTCTCATTCCACATCCTCTTCTAAATCTGGCTTGAAGCTCTGGAAGTTCCCTGTCAGTGTATGCTTGCAGCCGTTTTTGTATTACCTTTAGTAAAACTTTACTCGCATGGGATAATCAATGATATTGTCTGATAATTTCTGCATTTCGTTGGTTCAAATCTCTTTGGAAATGGGCATAAATACAGATCTCTTCCATTCAATCACCAGGTAGCTGTCTTCCAAATTTCTTGGCATAGATGAGTACATGCCTCCAGTGCTGCATCAATTTGTTGAAAGATTTCAACTTGTATTTCATCTATTCCCAGTGCCTTGTTCTTTGCCAATGCCCGCAGTGCACCTTGGACTTCTTCCTTCAGTATTATTGACTCTTGATCATATGCTACCTTTTGAAATGGTTGAACATCGACCATTTCTTTTTGGTACAGTGATTCTGTATTCCTTCCAGCTTCTTTTGATAATTTTTTGCATCACTCAATATTTTGCCCATAGAACCCTTCAATAATGAAAGTCAAGGCTTGACTTTTTTTCTTCAGTTCCCTCAGCTTGAGAAATGCTAAGTTTGCTCTTCCCTTTTGGTTTTCTAATACCAGGTCTTTGCACATACTGTTATAATATTTTACTTTGTCTTCTCTAGCTGACCTTTGAAATTTTCTTTTCAGCTCTTAAACCTCCTCACTTTTTCCATTTGCTGGAGGGCAAGTTTCAGAGTGTCTTATGACATCCGTTTTGGCTTTTCCTTCTTTCTTGTCTTCTTAATGACTTTTTGCTTCCTTCCTGTATGATGTTCTTGATATCATCCCACAACTCTTCTGGTATTTGGTCTTTAATGTCTAATGCATCAAATTTGTTCGTCAGATAATCTGTAAATTCAGAGGGGATATATTCAAGGTAATATTTTGATTCTTGTGGACTTGTTTGAATTTTCTTCAGCTGTAGCCTGAATTAGCATGTGAACTGTTCCACAGTCTGCCCCTGCCTTGTTTTGATTGATGGTATGGAGCTTTTCTGTCTCTTTCCACAGATGTAGTCAGTTTGATTTCTGTGTATTCCATCCAGTGAGGTCCATGTGTATAGTTGTCTTTTATGTTGTTTAAAAAAGTATTTGCCATGAAGTAGTCATTGGTCTTGCAGAATTCTATCATGTGATCTCCAGCATTGTTTCTATCACCAAGACCTTATTTTCCAACTACTAATCCTTCTTCTTTGTTTCCAACCTTTGCATTCCAATCACCAGTAATTAATCAATACATCTTGATGCATGTTTGATAAATTTCAGATTGAAGAAGCTGATAGAATTCTTCAATTTCATCCTCACTGGCTTTAGTGATTGGTGCATAAATTGAAATAATAGTGTTATTGACTGGTCTTCCTTGTAGGTAGATGAATGTTATCCTATCACAGACGATGTTGTACTTCAAGACAGATCTTGATATGTTCTTTTTGATGATGAATGCTACACTACTCTGCTTCAATTTATCATTCCTGGCATAGTAAACCATTGATTGTCAGATTCAAAATGGCCAATAATACTCCATTTTAGCTCACTTAATGCCTAAGATATCAATGTTTATGCATTCCATTTCATTTTTTGACAATTTCCAGTTTTCCTAGATTCTTATTTCGTACATTCCATGTTCTGATTATTAATGGATGTTTGCAGCTGTTTCTCTTCATGTTGAGTTGTGCCTCATCAGCAAATGAAAGTCGAGGTCTTTACTCCATTCGCATCCTCACGGTCAATTCTACTTTGAGGAGGCAGCTCCTCCCCAGTCACATTATAAGTGCCTTCCAACCGGAGGGGTTCATCTTCCGGCGCTATAGCTAATAATATTCTGGTGTTCTTCATCATGTTTCAGTATTCAATATTCTGATACTGACAGTGTTCCACTACTACTCATAAGGTTTTTAGTGACTAAAAATATTCAGAAGTATTCTGTCTCTCCTTCTTCCTAGTCTGTCTTCATCTGGAACTCAGCTAAAACCTGTCCCCTATGGATAACCCTGCTGGTATTTAAAATACCTGTGGCATAGCTTCCAGAATCACAGCAACACACAGTGTGTGAACTCATGGAATCCGAGTCTCTGAGGTTCTGGTCTCAAAGCAGCCATGGGTAGAGCGGAATAGCACCAAATGGGCTGGGCCCAGACCAATACCTGGACCTTAACTTCATGACTTCCACAGGGTGGGTTTCTGGTCTGCAGCTCTGTAATGCAGGCATCCAGGGAACTGATTCCTGGACCAGACCCTCAGGAAATAAAATCAAGAGCAGAATTACCTCCACTTAGAGAGTTAGCACTGGTGTGAAAAGGCAGGACAGATGCTTGGATTTAGTAACCTGAGGTCAGCTTTTGATATTTGGGTTCATCGGCAGGAGGCATGCTGGGGCTAAATTCACACTCATCCCTTCTGGATGCTAGAGAAATGTCTGTTCTTATCCATCTTCTGTTTTATTTTGGCATCTGCCATAGGAAAAAAGTCCTGATGATAACAAAGCTTTCACTTTGCTATGCAGTTACAAATGGGAGTGGCTCTGGGGGTCAGTGTGACTGAAAACCTTTGTCACAGAGAGAAGCAACATACAGAGAAATCAGGAACTGGTCCTGTGTGCCAAAAATACTGCTGAGTTCATTGGACGCTGAGCTTTTGGGGGACTCAGCAGGAGAAGGAGTCCTGCTGTCCCCAGTCTTGCCAGGATGGGTGGCTAAGGTTGGGTGGACCAGAGAAGGGTACTTGACATAGAAAAAGAGGGCACGCTATGAGTGGGTCTGGGAACTTTGGCGCATACCGTCTCCATCTTTCTGTCTCTCCTGTTCAGCCCATGAATGCCACCTCCGCCTTTGGCCCCAACCTCCGCTACATCGTCAAGTGGCGGCGGAGAGAGACTCGCGACAGCTGGAACAACGTCACAGTGTGGGGCTCGCGCTATGTGGTGGGGCAGACTCCTGTCTATGTGCCCTATGAGATCCGAGTACAGGCTGAAAATGACTTTGGGAAGGGTCCAGAGCCAGACACTGTCATTGGTTATTCCGGAGAAGATTGTGAGTACCCTTGCCCCCGCCTGCCCAGGACCCTCACAGCTGGGCTCCACAAGGCCATTCTCTCAGGCCAGGAACTTTGGGGTTAGGTCATAGGATTTCCGCAAACATCCTGGGAGGACAGCCAGTTCCCAGGAAAAAGCCATCCACTACAGACACCTAGAACAAATGCGGTTGACAATCTCAGTAGCAGAAATATTATCATGCAAACACTAGTTCACATTACTAAATATTATTACCGGAATCACCTAGACCTATACTCTTATTTTATAGATTTCAAAACTGAGACTCTGAAAAAGAAAACCTTTGTCCAATATTATAGGACATGTAGACTTGAAATTAGAACCCAAGTCTACTTATCCTCAGATGGGTGCTTTGCTGCTAAGACATGTTAGCACCAAGACAAGACTGCAGGACTCTGTCTCAAAGAGCCATCATTAGGCACCTGCACAGACCAGGCCCCTTCCCTCTGACTCCCCAAAGGAAGCCGTAAGGGCTACAGAGGGTCCACAGAGGACCTGACCGGAACAGTGTTCAGTCTCCAAGCCAGCCACTGGCCAGTGCTGCTCCAAGCCCTTTTAATGGTGTGTAAAAAGATAAGTTCTTTGGAAGCTGGGTGAATCAACAAGATTCTGAACATGCATGTAGAAGTATGTGCCTGGCTTCTCTGATAAAGGTGGTCTGCCTGCTCCCAGCACATCAGTCCAGAGGCTGCTAAGCAAAACATGGGGCTGGGGTTGTGGGGGCTTCAGTGGAGTCCCCACCTGGTGCAGAGTAATTTATGTCCTATTGGGTCTAGTCTGGCCTGATCTAAGAAGTGATCATGTAGGTGAAATGTGATCAGAAGAAGTAGGAGGGAGAGTCTGGGGGAAGAGCGGCGTCAGAAGGGGTCATGCTGGTACAGTGATGGGTAGGGACAGTAGAAGTGAGGGGCCCTGTGGCCGCATTTCCTAGAGGTAATGTATAGACTGGACCCCCTTGAGAGATGAGCATAAAGCCCTTCTGCCCACCCCACTTCTCACCTTCATGTTGGCAGACACTCTGGACATGAAGCCTGTGAGATCCCCTACATGGCAAGTGTGGGGGCATCTGGCTGTGGACTTCATGCACTGTCCATGGTACCTGTCCACCCTGTAGATGTGCTCTGATAGAGTAGAGGGAAGAAGTCAGAACTGCTTTAGCAGCCAAGTGAAAGAAGGAAGACCAAAATCAGTCCTGAGGATGGGAATGGACCGTCCTTTCCAGGTAGTCTTAGGGTCAGCATTGCTTCTTCAGACTAGGAGAGAGGTGAAAGACTCAAAAAGGACTATTTGTACCTATTTGTATATGGACAGGGTTAGAGGGAAGACAATCAAGTTTGGGGAGACACCTTAGTGCTAGCAACAGAAGGAAGGCATTATACTTCACACTAAGCCTTGAAGGGACAGGGGACAAATGAGTCACTGAAACCAGCAAGAGGCCCACCCACTGAACCTTGGGTAGAAGAGTACAGTTCTGTGAACATGCAGTCCAACAAAGAGGAAGCCAGGAGAATATATACCCAGCCTTACTCTCCTCCCACCCTGGGGTCTCCTGTTGGTGCCTCTTATTAGCAAAATCTACCCACAAGTCTAAGAACAAGGGATCCCCACTGAGAGTTTTCAGACAGAGCAGCCTACCTGGACCTAGAGCAGGAGGGATGAGATGCAGCAGCAAACAGAGACTTGCCAGCAAGTCATTTCCCTAAACCTATAGGCAGAGACCTGGACTGCCCTAAGTTCTTCTTGCCCTAAGTTTCCCCCTCCTCCAACTATATAGCCTGATGGTGTCAATGTAGCCCCTGCCCTCGTGTAGTGCTCAGTGGACAGAGTGGGTGAGGGACAGGCCAGCAGAGGGACCAGCCCTGCCTGTATAACCAGCTCTCTGTCCCCACACATTGCAGATCCCAGGGCCGCACCCACTGATGTTAAAATCCGCGTCCTGAACAGCACAGCTATCAGCCTTCAGTGGAACCGCGTCTACTCCGACACGGTGCAGGGCCAGCTCAGAGAGTACCGAGTGAGGAAGCCAACTCCTGACCCACCTAATCACCCAGCTCACTAACCGGGGCCAGGGGCGCAGCAGGCACGGGGCATTTGGAAAGGGGTGCTATGGAGCTTTATTGAATCCAGAGTTGCATCAAGAAGATGATGAGTGGTTAATGTTCCAAAAATGTGCCCTGGATGTTTCCTACAACAAATAAGTGGATTCTCTTAGCTTAGCAGAAAGTCATGTGAAGGGTGCTGGGTTTGGGTTGGCATTGCATAGCGTATTATAATATGTGTGTGAGTGGACACGCATGTATCTTTGGGAGCACTGATAAACTGCTAAGCTGCACCTTCCCCTCTCCTAATGGTCATTGGACTGCTTGCCTGCCCCAATTCTGGTTTTCTAAAGTCCCAACTAACAGACAAAGCCACTAAAAGGGTATAAATACCTTCTCTGTTGTCACAGCCAACCCTGGATTATCCAGCACATGGGTTATCTAGGTCCTGAGTTCTGGCCCTCCCTGCCGGGGAGTAGTTGCTGTTCAGTTGTCCCTCTTTGAAAGGGTGGCCTGAGGTGGGAAAAAGGGGGAGAAAAGTTCAGGGTCTATAGGCTTTCCACCCTTATGTAATGAGTAGCTCCATTTTATAAAATGGAGTGAAGGAGACTATCACCATGGGCTAACCCAGGTCCTGTGACCTCAGAGATCATCAAGAGTTGGCTGAAGAGCAAATGGAGAAAAGAATGGAGGGGTGAGTCTCTTCTTGAGAAATGAGTTTGGTAAGTAGGGGAAGGAAGGCAAGATGATGTACCCACTTCAGTGAGCTCTTTCCCAACAGCTGGAGGCTAACTTGTTATGTTGGCCCTAACCTATTTGCCTGAAGATTTTTCTGGCTAAAGCTTCCATCTAGTTCCCTCTGAAGTCTGGACTTAGTCCTTTCCTTGCCATGGATGGTCTGGGTGATACTGATGTGGTCAACCAGACCAGTGGCTTCTTACTCCTGCTGATCAAACCTCATGATGCAAATGCTTTCTACTACACTTCTGCCTTCCTTCAGAATCCCATCCCATCCAAGCTTCTGTCACCAGGCAGCCTAGCATCCCACTGACTTGGACATATCACTGTCTTTGGACACATGTCTACCTCATTCCTAAAGATCTTCAGACACTATTAAAGGAAGCCATTGACTTCAAAGGATATAATCAACCATTTCCTATGTTCAGACTTCTGGGGGTAATCTGCTACTTTTCAGCTCCTAGCTGTTGCCTATCTAAACCATACTAATCGAACTCAAGATGATGTGGCCTCTGAGCACAGAACAGAGCTTTCCATGCCTGGACCTTTGGCTCACATTTATAGTCTGTCACTGACTGACTCCCTGAGTAACTCATCACCCAGCTTGAAGTCCCATCATGGAGCAGCTGAGATGTAAGTTTAGCTAATCCATCCATTCCCCAGAGGGGTGACATGATTCAGAAAATGATTGGAACAACAAAAAAAATTCTACTTCTTGTTTGACATAAATTTGCATTTACCAGTGGCTAATGGGCAGGGACTCTAAGGCTGCTTTCTCCAGTCTTGTGTGGGACTGAAGTGGTCATTTGGGACTTGGAGCCTGTAGCCAGCAAAGGGAAGATCAGTCACTTCCACCACCACTAACAACTAACCTAGTTCTGCCTGACCAACCCCTCACCAGCCTGCCTCTGTCCTGAAGGCCTACTACTGGAGGGAGAGCAGCTTGCTGAAGAACCTGTGGGTGTCTCAGAAGAGGCAGCAGGCCAGCTTTACTGGTGACCGCCTCCGGGGTGTGGTGGCTCGCCTCTTCCCATACAGTAACTACAAACTGGAGATGGTTGTGGTCAATGGGAGAGGCGATGGGCCTCGCAGTGAAACCAAGGAATTCACCACCCCAGAAGGAGGTAGGTCTGCTCTGTGGCTCTCTGGGGTGGGGCCAGCTGAGGGGAGGCACAGCCCAGTGTGGCATGTGATCTCAGGGAAGCTGGTGACCTACAAACTGAGCAGCTCCTGTCTGCTCATTGAGCAATCCATCAGCAAGGTGACTTGTCCTGACTAGAGATTATATCTCAAGAGGAGTCCTATGCAGCCTGCTGACATTCCAGACAAACTATGCAACTGCAGACCACTTCCCAAAGCTTCATCCTGACTACCAGGAGGCATCTGATCTGTTTATTAACACCTAAGACTAGCAGAGTTCCTGGGTGCTACAAACAGTTAACACACTAGGTTGCTAATAAAAAGCTTGGAAGGTCAAGATGACTCAGAAGTGCCTTGGGAAAAAATCTTGGCAATCTACTTCCCAAACATCAGCCATTAAAAGCTCTGTGGAGTACAGTTCCACTCAGATGCAGTGGGGTCGTCATGAGTTGGTGTCAACTCAACAACAACTGGTTCAAAGACCATTTTGAAGAACTCTTTCACCACTGCCATTAGGAAGCTTGGTATGGCACTGTGGGTTAATGTGCCAGACTTCAAAGCCGTTTGAACTGCAAGGTTGGTGGTTCGAGCTCACCAGCTGCTCCTCGGAAATTCTACACAGGGTCGATAAGGGTTGGAACCGACTTGACAGTACTTAACAACATAAAGAAGCTTAACTGAGATAGTGTCACCCCCAAAGAAGGCTGTCCCTGCCTTCTTTCTGCAGGCTTATGGTCCACTGTGGTTCTGGGCTGCAGGCACCTTCTCCAAAGGGACTAGATGTTCCTAGTCCATCTGTTTGTTCTTATCAATCCTTGTATCTCCTTTAATTTGCTTTGCCCTCTTCTGTTTTTGCCTCCTTCCCAGCTTAACTGTTGTTTACCACATTTTTCTTCTTCTCTTCCTCTTTTCTACTTTCCTTTGTTCTTCCCTCTTGTTTTCTTTTTTCCTGTCCCTGCCATTCCCCCACCCATTTTGGTTTTCATGTTCAGCCTCTCCAATCAATCACTCCCGATCCTCCCACCCTTTCCATATATTCCATTTTAGGCTGTTTTCTCCTCACCCCTGAACCCAGTATTCCCAGGTCTGAAGCCTACCCTTGTCCAAGTGAGCTTAGAGCCCCCTCTAGTGGAGTTGTCAGGCAGGTGCAGCTCCAGAGGACCTCTACGCTGCTGAAAGATGCTAGGACTCAGGGGATGAGCTCTTTTGCTCTTAGTGAGGCTGGATGGGCTTTACTGTTTGGTGCCAGTAGTGAGAATCCTTGACCAAGGACTGGGAACTCTTGATTCTGTAAGAAACAGCCATTATTGGTTCCCTGCCCGGGAACAGCTTTGCCCAACTTGGATGTGTGGAGGTTCCAAGCTGAATCTAGGGGAAATGCTAAAGGAAACGTCAAATGCACTTTAGAGTCTAAGCCATATTGTACTCAAACCTTGGGAAATGACACCCTGGACAGAGCAAGGGGTGCTGGTGTAGCAGATCTCCAGCATGGGGATTGCATGGAGGTCAAAGCCTTCATTACTTGTGCTTTGTTTTTTGTGCTTTCTTCATCCTCCCCACCCTTTCCTCTCATCCCCCTTGCTTTCTCCTCCTTCCCCAAGTACCCAGTGCCCCCAGGCGTTTCAGAGTCCGGCAACCCAACCTGGAGACAATCAACCTGGAATGGGATCACCCCGAACACCCTAATGGCATCCTGATCGGATATACTCTCAAATATATGGCCTGTATGTATTGCCCTTCTCTCTCTTTAGATCATCTAATGAGTCAGACAACCCCATTCTCATCACTTTTCCTGAGGGATGGAGGTAGAGAGTCCATGGAGGGAGGCATGGGGGTGGGGGGGGGCAAGGGAAATTCAAGGGGGCCAACAAAGAAATTTTCCAGTGGAACTGTGGGAGGAGGCAAGTGAGACTCAGTTTCCTCAGGCAGCTCTGCCTGCAGTTATTTTCTAGTCTGATTGGTGAGAGTAAGAGACCTTCTAGTCAAATGAGAGGGACAACCCAGAGATTTGTCTCCAAGACCAGCAAGTCTAAGAGAAAGAGTTTCTCACCTGGTAAAGCTTCTTCTAGTCAGGTCTGACTCATAGTGACCCTGTATATATACAAGGTTTCTGAGGAGCAGCTGGTAGGTTTGAATTCCCAACCAGTGCTTATCTTACAGCGCCACACTAGGACTTCATCCAATGGAATAGAAAGAACATATACAGGGCCAACAATGCAGAAGACACCTTAAGGTCTTGTGTATGATAAGGCAGTGACTTAGTCTTGGAGCCTGGGTCCGGAAGCTCTGGATCTCAGCTCACCATGTAGGGACAAGAGTGTCACTACATTAGAAAAACCTTGTTTTCAAAAGTCATTGATGTACTTCTTTGGAAGTTTTGAAGGGCCAGGTGCAGTGGTGTTAACATTTTAATAGTCCACTGTTAACCTTGTAGGCTGTTCTGAATAAATCTCTGAACTGATCCTTTCGCTTTTGAGGCGGATTGAAAAGGAGCCATTAGCAATCAAAAGCTCTAGTGGTTTCTCCCTAGTTCTGTTTGAAAGGAAGAAAGGAACTCTAGAGTGTTGTCCTTGTTGAAAAGACTTGGGGATTATAAACCAAATCTTTCCGAATCACATAAATTTGCAATGAGCTAGAGATAATGACATCCGGTGAAAAAGTATTAACCAGGTGTGTAACTGAAGAGACCCTGCTTTTGAACCAGTGTCCCATCCCCAGGTCTTTAAGCAGTATCTACTAGGTTTTCTTTTCCAGCAAAGTCAGGAAAAGCTTTCTCTTTCCAGCTGCTTTTCCATACCCCAGTGTGGTAACTAACTGTCTCTAAAGTTCAATTCCACTTACCATCTCTCCCCAGTTAATGGAACCAAAGTAGGGAAGCAGATAGCAGAAAACTTCTCTCCCAATCAGACCAAGTTCACCGTGCAGCGAGCAGACCCTGTGTCCCGTTACCGCTTTACCCTCAGTGCCAGGACGCAAGTGGGCAACGGGGAATCAGTCACCGAAGAGTCCCCAGCGTCACCTAATGAAGGTAGGTGAATGGCTGGCTGCAGCTTTTGAGGAAAGGTCCTGCCCTTAGATGCTTAGGGCAGCACACTGAGACCTGCGCTTGGCTTTCTGGTCTCCAATGGAAAGAAAACGAGGTTGCAAGTTGGCAATAGGTGAGAACTATCTTGTCTCCTGTAAGGTAGGTGTTGGCCTTGGATCTGGAGCCATAGATCTTAAACTGTTGTCATCAGACCTGGGTCCCCTCTGTGCCTTGACTTGCTCAGCTACTTATCATTAAGCTCCTCCCTTACTCTAGAGGTCTAAGGAACAGAACGTGAATCTGGATTTGCAGAGCACCTTGGAAGCCAATATGCTCATGAACTCCAAAGACTGGTGAAAGGGTTCATGCACTGAAGGAGGCTCTGGGGTTCTTGGGGCCAAAGAGGTAGGAAAGACTGCCATGATTGAAGCTATAGGCCAGGATTAGAAGTCAAATAGGGAATGTAGTCTCTCCTTCCAGCCTAAACCAAGTGAGTTTTCAAGCTGTGGAGAGATGTGGGGAGTTGAGGGCGATAGCCATTGGATCATGCAGTCTCACTAAGAGCAAGAGAGTTCATCCTCTGAGCCCTAGCATCTTCCAGCAGCGTTGAGGTGCCCACCAGAGCTGCACCTGCCTGAGAACTCCACTAGAGGGAACTCTAAGCTTACTTGGACAGGGGCGGGCTTGATTCCTGACTTCCAGGAACTTCTGGACTAGAGAAGGTAAAAAGGAAAGGTTGGAAAGAGGGGGTACTCTCTCTTCAGAGATATAGTCATGTTGTTGTTGTGGTTGTTAAGTGCTGTTGAGTCGGTTCCAACCCATAGCGACCCTGTAGAGGGTTTCTGAGAACCCACTGGTGAGCTTGAACCACCAACCTTATTCATATTTATGTTTAGCGACCTACAATGTGAGGTGCCAGGCACTATGCCATAATTAAGGGATGCAAAGGTTATAAGTTCTCCCACAGTGTAGAAGGAAAGGCATTTGCAAAAAAAAAAAAAAAAAAAATTCCATTGCAGTTCAGAGTGAGAGATGCTATGTCTATATGAGGACCGTGCAGTGAGTGTGGAGAGGAGGTGGGATGCATTCTGCGAGGGAGGACTTCAGACAGGAGCTGGCCTGAAGAAGGATTATTGAGGCAGATGGCTGCTTTCTCTGGAAGCTCAGGTCTCATGGACTGACCCTGGCCCGCATGGACTGGCATTGGTCCGAGTATCATTGCTCACACTCTACCCAGCCCGGGCAAGAGGGCTCCATGCTTCTGGAATTCTCTGGGGCTGCCAGTGTCATCTCCCCCCACCCCCAGCAGGCAAGCCATCACTGAGGAGGGTGGGGTGAGAGGGAATGGGGAGATGCATCTCTCTCTGGTCTTGTAAACCCTGGAATGAGTCACACAGTTAGCTCCTCTTCCCAATGTATTCTTCCAAACTCCAACAAACACCATCCCCCTCACCATCCCCCCCCCCCCCCCCCCCCCAGCACTCAGGGCCTTTATTGGGACTGGGAACATTGGGTAGGTGGCTGATGCATGCCTATCACCAAAGACGCAGCTAAGCAGGAATGATACATTTCTTGATTACTAAATTCTATAAAAGGATATGCAGAGAAAACCTCTGGTCCTTCCCCACCTCCACCCCATTACAGAAAATCAGATAAAGCTCCATTGTCCACCCCTAGTGACCATCAGAGAATGTTCTATAGCCCGAGGGGACAAGAGAACAAAGAGTGGCGCTCTTCTCGATTTATTAATATGCAGAAAATTCAGAAATTGCTTCTAGGGCTTTCAGTTTACAGTTAGTTTCTTATTCCATAAATTTGATAAGAACAACAGGTCACTGAATACACTCTTCCTCTGCCCACCCTGACACTATTGACCATCTTCCCTCTGAAGAGGCCAGAATTACCCTAATTTTTACTGGGTTTGGTATCCTCCTGCCTGAAAAGCGTAACCGCCTCAATTTCTAGCATCACAGAAGGCCATCCAGCCTGCTACATAGGGGCCGTCCGGCATGCTCTTGAGGAAAGAGGTAGAATTGAGCACTCTGGGATCAACTGCCCACATCACTTCTTAGATGACTAATCTAAGATAAAGAGGGTGCGAAGAGTCTCCAAGAACCAGGGCTGAAGGTTTTAGCTGGAACATGATAGACTTGTGAAGTTTAACATGATCCCCAAACATCAGTTGTCATCCTCTGAGCGGGGCCCTGCACCTGGCCACACCCTCTGGGTCAGGTTAAACCAGAGACTTCTCTGCTTGCTTGTTCTGTGGTTTCACCTGTGCCTGTTTTCTCTCCTCTCTCTCATCCTTTTACCCTCTGTCTGGCCATCTTGGGTGCTGTGTTCTGAAGCTACTCCAACCGCAGGTACCGTACCAGCAGTGGAGGTAATGGCATGGCATGGGGTGATGCAGGTGGAGGCCAGCCAAGCCAGGGTGGAGCAGGAGGGAGAAACTTGAGATGAAAGCATGCTCCGGGCTCACCCTTTCAGTGGCTGGGAAGCCAAGCTACTGAGGAGGATGTGTGTGGAGGATGGAGCCAGAGGAAAGCAAACACATTCTTCATGGTTCACTTATTTACCCTCTGACATCCTACCGAGAAAGAGGAAGAGGAGGAGGTCTTAAAAGGAATGCTTCCTCCTCAGTCTCTAGAGCTCTCTGGAATTACAGTTTTCTCTAAATCTGGGGGATTCTCCTCAGCCCCTGGGTTCTTGCTAGGATTGACCTCTCTGGGTGGTAGAGACATATGATAGTGTGTCCACCACCTCTGAGCTGCCACCGATGCTGTACTAGGAGTGAGGGGCAGCTGGCCCCATCTCCTGGTCAGGTTCCCACCCCTGAAAGGGTGATCTGCAGGTAAGCACGCTGTGCATGCTGGCCTTGCATGCTGCATGGGGGGCCCACACCAGTTCTGCTGTCTGCTATGGGCCCTGGTCTGTGAGACCCAGCTAGTATGTCCTTGGATAGGGTCTCCGGGACCTGGAGTCTCAGTGGGCTCCTTACCCATCAGCAACCCAACGCAATGTCTTTAGTGTTCAGAACAGTCTTCACGCTAGGGCCTAGGATGGGGTGGTGGGATAGAAACAGCAGAAGTTAGTTGGGCAGAAAGGGTCCTGGCATCGGAGATAACCTGATAACCAGGTTCCTTCTCTCTAGTCCTTATGTCATGGATTTGGGGAACATCAAAGGGCTCTTTACCATGGAAGCCTGTCTTCAAGCTGGAGAAACTGGCCAGGGAATTCCAAGGATCACTGCCCTGCTTTTGAATTCTGTATGAACCTGAATCTTCTCAGGAGGGAAATGGGAACAGGGCTCACCCTGGCTAAGCAAAAGCTGTGGGGAAAGGGCTCACTAGCACCTTCCTCATCCCTAGGCTGCTAGGACACCCCAAGCAGAAGAGGGAACTGAGGACAGGCTTTATGAAGAGGCTGCCTGCCCCATTGCCCGATTTGGTTTCCTCCCACCTTCACTGATTTCTCTGCAACAGCATTTTAGGTTGATTCTCTTTTTTTTTTTTTTTTTGCACACCCTGCTTCCTTCCGTTTGTATATTCTTTTGCCGTCAGCTATGTGGACTCCTTCTATCCTGTCTACCCCCTTGTGAAAGCCCAGGCTGATTGGGCACTGTGGCATCCTCACAGGGTCTGAACGGCTCTGAGAGGATGAAAGGGGATAGGTTGTCTTGAACCTGCGGATCGTGCTTTGTCCCACCCTGAGAGTTTGCCTGACTTCCTGGTTAATGTTGCCTGAGTCTGTTCTGTGATGATCCTAGCATGGACTCAGGGTTGCATGAGGCTTAGCAGAGCAAGGAGATGAAAAGCAGAGAGGGCACAAAGGACTCAGCTAGAGGCTCATTGGTAAAGCAGTTCGCAGCCTATCTCTCCTTTCTGGCACCCAAGGCAGGTGGGTCAGCAGTAGAGAGGCCACCTTGTCCACAGTGGGCATCAGTGCCATCTGTTGATGAGTGACAATTGAGAGGGCATAAGAAGCCTAATTCCAAAAGCCCATTTCCTGCTTTCCATTTAGGAAAGACCAAACTCATCATGGAATGCACAATGAGCTCACGATCTGTGTCCATCAATCAAATGTGTTTCCTAGGCACCAGCTTCCACACAACATGGTGGTAGAGGCATATATATGACAGGTTTTTGTGAAGGGAATGTGCTGATGACATCAGCTATTTTCAGCTTCAAATGCATGAGAACCTTATGCACAGTGTGCAGGTGCCAAGCCATGGAGCGCAGACACCAACTCTTTGACACGGGCCTCTGTCCCATGCTCTGCTCCCTTACCCCTCTTCCTCTGCTATCCTGAGTGGGTTTCTTTCCAAATTGATGTGTTCCCATCTCATCTAGTAAAGACAGCCCCTCCATCCACCTTATCTGCCATCTCTTAGGACTGTTGCCCATCTGTTCCAGCAATCTGTAGTTTGACCACAGTCATCCATGCGGCATGTTGGATACATTTGGACTGAGCTTTCTACCTTGGAGTGTCTGGGAGCTGCTGTCCTCATCTTTGCCTCAGTAGTGTCATTCCTTGAATGATCTGACAGTTCAGCAAATGTTTGGTGGGCCCAGCACCATGGCAGGTTCTGGAGACAGACGAATTAGAGACATCTCATGCTATGGATGGGGGAAGAATTAGCATCTCTCTTCTCCATTTTCTCTATCATCTATTTGGTGGTCCCCAAAGGTATGGTGGGGAGCTGTGGCTAGGGTGCCTTCTGGTGTGTCTTCTAGTAGGGTTCCTGTGCTCCCAGGTCCAGCCCACAATGGATAGCATCTGTGTGCCCAGCAGTGTGTCTGCTTCACCTATGGTCCGCTCTGCTTACAAGCCCCATTTCTGGGCCTTATTCCGCTTCCATCTTCTACCCCACCCTGCCCAGTGGGTTGAGATCATCTGAGAATCTGAGCAGTGGAGAAAGTCTTCTCCTTCCCACCTGTGACATCTCAACTCAGCCTGGCTCTTCCCCTCAAAGTCTTTTCTTCCTTCCTCAGCCTTCCCTGTCTCCCTGGTGGCCCTGTCCAGCCTTGGGCTGGTAGACTCAGCTAATGGAGCAGACCAGAGAGAGTGCTCAGTCAGCTGTGATTGTACCCTCCACAGTGGCTCCAGTGGCAGGTACCACCAGGGGAGGGGACTTCTGTCCTCTCACTCACTCATCTCTTGTTCTCTCTCACTAATGCTCTCAAGTTGTTGCTACTGGTCCAGAGGGAAATACAGCTAGATAGCAATTATCAATGAGAGACATTTCCTCATGTCACATTTGGCAGAGGTGACGGTCAGAGGGAGGGGACAAGACCATGCCATTTCTCATTCTAGCCTCAGGTCACCAGAGCCCAGTAAGAAGCACACTATCACCTAGTCTACCTCAATATCTTTCTAGAGCTACTCACTGGAAGGCTGTAAGAAGCATGTGAGCTCAAGGCTGTGGCCCTGCACTAGGGTGCTATGGTATAAGTGTATTCATACATTTACTTGTATGAGGACCAAGGGGCCACATAAGGGTGTGCCTCACTTTGGGAAGATAGGTTCTGATCCAGAGGACCTAAGAAATATAACAGGCAGTTGAGCACATAGGACAAGGAGCCGGGGTGGGACACTTAGAGTTCAGAGGATGTGTTTCCTGATGACAACTCAAGGTGGTCATGGAAGAGCGGGGTCCTGTGAATGTTGCATTTTCCAGACAGTATTAGATGAGGCACTCAACCACTACAGTTCTGACTAGACAGACAAAATGACATCGTGAGGTTCCTCCCAGCTTCATAGAGCAGCGGGACATGCCTGGGTGTGCCTATGGCTGCCGGAGCCAGGGACCAGGCCTGGGAAAGAGCAGACCTTTGCCTCGTGGGTCCCTCAGTCTTATCTGGGTGTGCATGTGTACATCTTGATAGTGAGATCAGTGATTTCCTTCACGCCCAGCATCTGTACGCTGAGCTTACATCCCAAGTCTGGGCCCGTCTGGGCTGAATACATCCCTGATTAAAGATTATGGGAGGGAGAGTTGCCCCCACACCACCCAACTCCCCACACCTTCCTGATGTCTGTAGGTTGACTCGTTGTTAGGTGTCATCTAGTCGGCCCCGACACGTAGTGACCTCATGCACAGTAGAATGAAGCACTGCCCAGTCCTGAGCCAACCTCACAATTGTCATGCTTGACCCACTGCTGTTGCCAGTGTGCCAATCCACCTCATTGGGGGTCTTCCTCTTTTTTGCTGACCCTCCACTTTACCAATATTGCCCTTCTCCAGGGACTGGTCCCTCTTGATGACATGTCTGAAGGATGAGAGATGAAATCTGATTATCTTGGCTTTGAAGGATCATTCTGGCTGTACTTCTTCCAACACTGATTTGTATTTTCTTCTGGCAGTCCATGGTCCTTTTATTATTCTCCTCCAACATCATAGCTCAAATGCATCAATTCTTCTCCAGTCTTCCTTTTTCTTTGTCCAACGTTCACATGCCTCTGAGGCTACCAAAAATACCTTGACTTGGGTCAGGTGAGTTGGCTGGGGACTGAGAAATTTGGCACTGTCATTGGCTTTAAATGTGCCCAAGAATCTCTGGAACACAGGGGACTAGTCAGCTGTCTAATGAGACTTCTACGGTCAGGACCCTGTTACACCTCTGATCTTAACAAGTCCACATGGATCCCAGGAACATTCTTTCCTTCGCCATGGGGGACTTGTAATATGGAGGCCCCGAGGAATGAAAGGACTTTTGTGTGTAAGGTTCTAGTCATCAAGACTTTGTTGTTGTTTTTATTAGGTCCCCTCAAGTTGACACCACTCTTTGCGATCCTATACACAATCAAACAAAACATTTCCTGGTCCTGTGCCTTCCTCACAATTGTTATGCTTGAGCCCATTGCTGTTGCCGCTGTGATCTGTTATTCTTCCTGAGAAAAGCTCTCTGGAAATTTTCTCCCTGTTCTGGCCCTTTATAGAGGTTTAAAAATATTATTTTCCTGAACTTCTAGAGATTAGCAGAACTTCTTGAGGCAAGGTAGGATGTTCCTGAAATCCTGGTGTGGATTTCACTGGACCACAAGATTGGTTTGAACCACAAGGTTAATGGTTCAAACCCCCCAGCCACTCCTCAAAAACCCTATGCAGTGTTGCTGAGTCAGAACTGACTCGATGTCACTTAGCAACAACAAAGGATGTTACTGTTTCTTGAAAACTAGAGTTACCTACTTATGTTTTAAGATTCTTGCCTCTTGTCCCATTAGCATCAACATTAGGAAATGGGTTGTGGTCAGATCATAAGAGATTGAGTGCAAGGAGGAATCTCTTTCTCTGATTTCCCCCCCATCCTTCTTGTCTTAGCCTCAGCTTTAGCAAATACTGGAACTAGAAAATAAGGATAGGCTGGCTCCTGACCCTGTTATAGCAGGCAAGAGGGGTCACATAAAAAGAGTGATAGCTCCCCAAGTCTAACCAATGTCAAAGGGCAGCTTTGGATGGGAAATGAAGGACTGGATGGGTTAATAGTGAACTGATTCACTCTGTGCCCCAAGCGAGGACTTAGGTAGCAAAGAAACCCAACTGGCTTCTTTTAAAAAGATTTCTTGTCCACTATAGATTGGGACAGTGGTACAACCAACCACAGTGATTCCATTCAAACCTTTCCCCTACATTCTAGTGCAAACAAAAAAGAACTTAGGGTGCCTGTACCCCAAATGTCCTGCGGAGAAAGACAAACACCGGAAGTCAGGGTAATATGTGGATTCACTCCAGGAAGCCCATCATTGGGCACGGAAGGGAGAGGGAGGAAAATGGGAAAAGGGATGAAAGGGCTGGAGAACAAGGAAGAAGGCTGGGAAGGGTGAGAACTGAGGCAGGAGTGGTCTTCTCCTAGAGCAGACTGACTTGCAAGACGTGTCTGCAAAGTAGGGATTGTTCTCTCTTTGTAGTGTTTTTTGGGTGGCTGTTTGAGCTCAAGCTGATGTGACCAAGGACCATTTTGTTTGGAGTGAATGGTTGGGATGCTAAACAACTCCCAGAAGATGGCAGGCTGGCCTGTGCTCTTGCAGGGCAGGGCCCAGATGCCTGCTCACCACTTGAGGCCTGGGCTGCAGGGCTGGACTGAAAGGGTGCTGCTTGGGTCTGTGTCTGGGTGCTGCTTGGAGTGGGCTTCCATGCTGTCTCTGGGTTCTGAGTGATTTGGTACACATCTCATTCACATCTTCATCCTTGCCCGCAGCTGGGTGCATGTGGGGTGCTTGGTACCACACAAACCATGAGAAGAAAATGAAACACACACAGGGCTTCATTCTCTTCCTTGCACATGGTTGTGTTTTCTCTCACTATAATCCAGTATGCCTGGGGAGCCATAAGCTACTTCCCCACACCAGGCTACCTGCCTTTGCCTTGCACGTAGGGGCCGTGAGGCCAGGCTGGGCACAGCCAAACCGACCAGACGGGCTGTTTTACGTTTTCCTCTCAGCTGCTCCCACACTGCCCCTGACTACCGGGGGAGCGGCAGGCACAGTGAGCAGTGCCGATGCTACTGCCATTGTTGCCACCACCGAAGCTACTCCAGTCCTCATCATCCCAACCGTCGCACCTACCACCATCGCCACCACCACCGTCGCCACAACTACTCCAACCACTGCCGCCACCACCACCACCACCACGGAGAGCCCTCCCACCACCACCACCGGGACTAAGATACAGGAAGCCGGTACTGCGCACTGTCCAAGCACCCTACTTCCCTCCTGTCCCTCAGTTTCCTCAAGAAACAAACCCACAGGCTTCCAGAAATCAGAGGTGGGGTTTGGGATGTGTTTACCAATACCTCCTTTGTTTCTCCTTTGGGCATTCACACCTGACTCTGATTCTGATTGCCTAGAGGCCCCAGAGCTCCCTAGTGGGGGTGATCTATCTGCTCATGTCCCTTATGTTAGCCTTAAGGCCCCTGTTCTTGAAGAGAAGGCCACAGGGTGCGCTGGGAGGGCCAAGCTCCTGCTCAAGGCTGAGCCCTCCAGAAGGAGCAGAGCGTGGGAAGGAAAGGAGCCTGGCCCCAGACAACTAGCCTGAGAAGGCTTCCTCCTCCTGTCATGTTTGCATCCAACTTTGTGAGGAGTCAGAGGGGCTGGGTTAAGGGTGCAGGGCTGGCCATGCCATGCAGTTCCCTTCCCAGAAAGAACACTGCACTTGCCTTGCCCCTCTCCAAATGGGAGACTTTTTAAAGTCTTAGAGACTTAAAAAGTCAGGACTTCCAGGAGATGGTATTGCCAAGGAGTTCCATAGTCAAAGATGCTCCATTACTCTTTCTACACATATTCCCAGGGACCCCAGATGCACACAGGAATGGGAAGCTGCAGCCATTCTGGGGGCCGGTGGTAAAAACTGATATCAGAGCTGGCCTGCTGAGCCCAGAGAATGAACTATCCTTGTGTGATGCAGCCAGGCAAGGAAGCTCCGTTCTGCCAGCATGATGAGGCCCCTTGGGAATCCAGCAATAGTTCAAAGAAGCAAGCATCAAGCAGCTTTTTATTACCATGGATGGGAGGGTCTTTAGCTTAGTGAGGCCACACACCAGCAGCAGAGCCAGCCACCGGCAGGACTGACAGGAAGCAGCCAGAGCTCTCCTCCAGCAGGCTCTCTCCTTCCCTAGCCCCTGTAGATCACACCGCCTCTCCACACCACCCCTCGGCTGTTCACGTACTTAAATAAGGATGGAGGCTTACGGTTAGGACCTGTGAGCAAGTTCTAGATTCACTTACAGGGAATTAGGTGAGCCGAAAAGAAGGACAAATGATTCAGAGCTGACATTATGCTCCCCAGAACTTTCAAACACTGCTTTAAAGCTGTAATAGGTAATATTTAAACAACATATACTTGAGGGGAAAGTTGGCTGAGGAAAGAATTTGAAGCTGTCACTAGCACTTTGGTGACTGGCATTCTTTCAGGCCACAGTGAGATCTTCTGCATCCAAGTGAGGCTTGATGTCCTGCAAGTTGTTTAACAGAAGAGATACACAAAGAATGAAGGAATGGATTTTGCTCCCCAGCAAAATGTGGGGAGATCAAAGTGTGGGGAGATCAGCCTTGTTATCACATAGGGTTAGCTCCATGGACCACTATACCCCAAGTCTCTCTGTGTCTGAGACCCTGAGGGTCATACCCTTGGTTTTGCCCTCAGATGATAGGGACGTCCTTTAAACACCCAGGGTCCCCTTGATGCAGCAGAATGACAATGCCATCCAGGATTCTAAAAATATTTTTTTTCACCTGTACTGTGTCTTATATCTTAGGACAATGTTTCATAAGTGGACTCTTCTTGGGAGAGAGAAGACTCATTTGTAACTTAATCTCATTCAGATTTCAAGGAATACTCCCTAATTCTCACATTCTAGGATCCCATGAACTTTCCCCTACTTCCCCATCTTGCTTTTTAGAGCTTGACAGCTCGCTTTCTTGGTCCTTGTCTTTGAACTTTCCATGTGGCTAGCTGTCATCTTGGTGTATCCATCTGGTAGTCCCTTTCTCCAACTCATTTTGGCTTCCCATTTGTTGACCTTTTTTCTAAAAGCATCCCCATCTCCATTACCTCTGGGATAGTCAGATTTGGGTCAATATTCTATCAGTGGCCAAACTGTATAAATCCAGGTTCTCTGGCTGTTTCCAGAGCTGAGGAGGAGGAAACCTAATTCTGCAGTTCATGACTAATTGTAACTCATTCCCACTAGCAAGAGCCATTCGATTCCAAGGAGCTGGGATTTGGGGTGACTTGATGCAACCAATGCAATGGAAATATCTGGCAGTCAAGTAAAGAAGCATAGCTTTAGCCTGCCCATTGAGACATCCCACCCCCACCCTGTCATGGTGCCATTCATGAAAGCTCTCTTTGGTCCCTCACCTACCATGAATCATGTTCACCTGGGGTAACTGACATGGTTGTAGTGGAGACAGCATGCTTTTGAAGTGAAGACCTAGAGATCTTTTATCATTTCCCAAACCCTGCAGACTCAGTCATGTGTCAAATAGATAATGAATAAATGCATCACCCAATGTGCTCTATTCATTTAGTTTTGACAAGTGAGTTGGTGACAGTGCCCCCTTGCATGCTAATAAAATATACAGGAGCCACACTTGTAAAGCCTTTGAAATAAAAGGCTTCATGCTAGTACTCCACTATTAAATCTTTGCTGGGAAATGAGGTAATCAGACTGCTGGGACTCTTGAAAAATGATTACGTTTGAAGATTAGTGCCACTCTCCTGTACATTGGCTATGGTTTTAGACAGCACGACGGCTTTGATAAAGTAGTTCCCAGCTCAGAGGAACTAGATAATTAATGGCCTTTGCGTTGCATGGAGACCAAGCCTCAAAGACTGTGGTGCCGAGAGTGTGATAGAACAGGACTCTAGTGGTGCCCAGACCACTGCAGGTTGGGTGTATAAGGAGTTCTCTTTTAATCCCACCCAACCCAAGGAGAGGGAATGCAAGGATTCGTGCTGTCTCTAGGCGCGGCCCTCGGGTTCCAGACCTCGTCATATTAGGCAGTTTCAAGCTGTTTGCCACATAACCCAGGGTCTTGCTGCCCAGGAATGATGATCCCAGAGGTACTCCCTTACTACAAATCTCATCGTGTCTCTCATTTGACTTTTGAAGCTAGCCTGTATCCTTCCTACAGGACTTCATAGTTGGAGGGGAAGAGACTGCCCATTTCCCTGCCTCTCTGACTGCATCTGGTCAAAGGGGCTTTCTCCTGGCCCCTCTCCCTGCACCTTTCTAATATGTGGCCAGAATGCTAAAGAGGAAATAAACCCGTTAGAGAGCCAGTGGCATCTAAAGCAACCCATTCTTTAATTCCTACCCCACCTGTGTGGACATGTAGACAGTTTCCTACTTTGCCTCATGTGAAGGCCTTCCTTGAATGCACTAGCTCCACTCTAGACTGCTCCATCTGGCCTGGCTACAAGGCTGCAGCTTAGAGCTGCACGGGGCTTGTGCACCACTTCTGACTCTTCCCTTTCCTAACAGATGTATGTGTGTGTGTGTCCATGTGTCCAGTGCTACCTGCCTCACCATCACTAACTCCTCTTCTAACCCATCTCCCAGCCCCTGATGAGCAGTCCATATGGAACGTCACGGTGCTCCCCAACAGTAAATGGGCCAACATCACCTGGAAGCACAATTTCGGGCCCGGAACTGACTTTGTGGTTGAGTACATCGACAGTAAGCATTGATGTGTGGGTGGTGGTGGCGGCAGCGGCAGCGCGAATAGTATTAGATGATGCCGTTAAAGAGAGCCTATGTACTCCTGGGCTCTGAGAGGCTTTTACATGGGTTAATTATGGTTTAATGAAAGTGATATGCCCTCAGGCCGCAGTGAGCTGGGATGAGGGACTCTTGGAAAAGGAAGGGGCTTCTGAGGTCATTAGAAAAGATCTAGTTTTGCCTGTGCTAAGGCCATTCTAAGCAATGGACCATTCCTCCATTTCTCACCCACAATCAGGGTTCCAGATAGCCCCCAAATGAGCTGAATTTAACATCTGCACTGATTTCCTGACTCAGAATCCATGTGTTCTGATGTCTCCACCACACAGACTAACCGGGTTTGGAGTGCAACTGAGATTTGTTCACGTGGGACGCCAGGAGTTCTTTGTCTCAGAGAACTGATAGCTTGAGCTGAGCTCATCACTCTACTGGATCTATGGGTCCAGGATATACAAGTTTGTTAGACTGCAGAATGTGGTCAGGTATCTGCTTTTCCTCTGAGCAAAGTCCTCTGTTCCTCAGGGGTCAGCCTGGCAACCTTGGCCTCTATAGCATGTGTCCTAAGCAATTAAGCCAGCCAACCCAACCAAAAGTCCACCTCATCTACCTGATGAGCTCTTAGCAAGCAACAAAGCCAGCTCTTAGCCCTCTGGGCTGGAGGAGGGCTTCACAGCCACAGAAATCATACCTAGCTTTGGTCCACACCAAATAGTGTGCCTCTTACCACCACAGATACACACTTTGCCTGATGTATGAATTAGCCACACAACTAAAGATGTGATGAGAAACCAAGAGTGAGAGCCACAAAACAAGAGTCCTGTTTCATCTTCAGTCACCATTAGGATGCTCACTGGCTCTCTGACCCAACCCAGAAAGTTCCCTTGTGGGAAGTCGGTCATCTCCCATCTCCTGGGTAACATGGCTGACATTCTGAGAACTGAACAATATAGGTCATAATATGCTTAGTGCTAAAACTGAGATGAGGAAAGAAAATGTCAGGGTAATCTGGTAAAGGTTAGCATTATGTGGAAGGACTTGGGGGCTACCTGGAGACCTGGTCTGTATGATGGACTGGACCCTATATCCCCTGGTCCTCCCCTTCCACTTCCTACCTTTGACAGGTGACCAGGAAGCAAAGCAGAGTCTTTCCAGAACCAAGTGCCTGGCCCTAGGCTGACTGAGGTTTCTGTTCCCCAGGCAACCATACGAAAAAAACTCTCCCTGTTAAGGCCCAGGCTCAGCCTATACAATTGACAGACCTCTATCCCGGGATGACATACACTTTGCGGGTTTATTCCCGGGACAACGAGGGCATCAGCAGTACCTTCATCACCTTTATGACCAGTACAGGTGAGAGGGGATCTGGCATGGCCATCCCCGACAAGCATGGGGCATCTTATTCTCGTTCTCAGCTGCCTGCCTGCCTCTGCTCCTTGGAGAGAAGACTCATCCCCACCCAACCCCCAACCTTGCATGGTGGGTCTCCGCTCCTATAACGCAACAGTCTGCAGCTGCCTAGAAGTCAAGGGGAGCCAGAGGTGCATGTACAGAGGAGAGGACGCTGGGATTCTGAGCTCAATGGGGAGGTGTGGGGAATTAGAAAAAAGCAAAATGAGGACAGAGGTGAATGCTTGGCCCCCAGCTATGCTTGAAACAAAGAGCTTGGTGTCTGGGCAAACTTGGTCACTGCATGTGGTATGTGTGTATGTGTGTGTGTGGTTGTATGTATGAGGCTGCTAGAGTGCATTGCAGCCTGCCCCTTCACACAGGGCCTTACCATAGTGTTGTAGGACAAGGGTGGTGAACATCTGGCTCTAGAGCCATATGGTGGTGATGGTGTGCCATGGAGTCTGTTCAGACTCATAGCAACCCTGCATAGGGTTTCCAAGGCTGTAAATCTATGGGAGAAGAAATCCTCACCTTTCACCCACGGGATGACTGGTAGTTTCGAACTACTGACGTTGAGGTTAGCAGCCTTACTTGTAACCACTACGCTACCAGAATTTCTTTCAGGCTGTGTAAGGCCCTTGAAATCATTTGGTCTGGCCCTGAAAAGGTAACTGCAGCTCCAGCCATCACATTGTTGTTGTTGTTACGGGTGAATAAGTTAGATGACCAAGTGTAGCAGTCCCATTTTAAAATTGATAGTTTTGTATGGCCCGCAGATGATGCTATAAATTTTAGCAGAAAAAAAGGTTCCCCACCCCTAATGTGAGACCAACCAAATGGCTTGAAATCCAACTTGCTCCAGAACTTTCCCCCAAGAACCAACCAAGGATCAGTGCATACACCAGTTTACACATGGCCATGACTATCCCCTGCAGTTAAAAATCCCAGAGTGTGTGACAAGTTGTTTGAGGCTTTGTTTTGATTTGATTTTGGTCCCAAGTGTGTCTTTGTGTAGTGTTGACTTTTATTTATAGTGTTGGGGAAGGGAAAGCAATACTAAAATAGCTGATGGCTCTATATGGGCTTCAACTGTGGAGACAGAGAGGCATCTTCCTTGTGCCAAGTCAGCAAGCCACCTGGGTCTTTCAGTAGCAGGTGCAGTGTCAGAAACCCCTCTGCTGGTAGGGGTGGCTGTCGGTCTGGAAACTTGTAGGCACTGGCTTGTTTGAGAGTGTGTGTATATCTTTAAAATCAACCAGGCTGCAGAGGTGGTCTGTGTGCTAAGATCTGGGTCTAGAGGAAAGAAAACGAGAGAGAAAAGGATCGTCCCTGTCCCCAGATGCCAGATATGAGACACACAGCACAGAAAAAACAAAAACAGTGGTTTCTATGAACTTCTGAATGTTGACGTAGATCTTTTATTACTCCTTTCCTGTACTTGACCTGGAATCTTGGAGTGGCGCAATCAGTTAAGTGCTTGACTACTAACCTAAATGTTGGTTGTTTGAACCCACCCAGGGAGGGGTACCTTCAAAGAAAGGCGCCGTAATCTGCTTCTGAAAAATCACAGCCTTGAAGACCTTATGGAGCATAGTTCTACTCTGATACACATGGGGTCACCATGAGATAGAATCAACTCTAGAGCAACTGGTTTTGGTTTCTGGTGTTGTGTTTGGTGGTGGCAGCCGATCCTGGTAGTTTACATCTTGGGAGTTGCTACCCGTCAGTATAAATGCATCTTCACTAACCCTTCCACTTTGGTCATCCTCAGTCTGCTCTGTGTGGGAGAACCACCAAGCCCAAATGCGTTGGAACAAAGTCCATCCCTGTTACATTTGTTACTTGATCGATTCCCATTTCTGAAACAGAATTCTTCTGCAGACTTTGAGCAATTCTTTTCCATGGACTTTGAGCAATTCTTTTCCATGGCCAAACCAAATTCTTCTCAACTTGAGTGATGAGTCATTAGGCCTGTCTGCCTTGAAGGTGAATGGCTCATGTCTGCAAGCCAGGAGGGTGTGTTGTGGAAAGCACACCAATTGAAAGCAAGAGCCTTTTGTACCTGTGTCTGTTGGGCCCCTGGACCCAATGAGAGAGTGCCATCCGGTTCCCAGTTACTTCCAGCAGAAGTGATATGTAAATGTATCCTGGTCTTTGTTGTCTGAAATCAAGTTTAACTGTCAAATATGGTGCTGGCAGCCAAAAGTTAACTGCCCTAAAGCATCACAGTGATTTTTCCTCTCCAGAGCCCATGCCCTCAGGCCATGAGGTTACCCTGTAGATGTGGTCTTTTGGCTCTTGAGAAACTTAGCCTTTTGGATAGGGTCTTATTGAACCCATCTTACCCCAGAGTCCACAGTTTTAATCCATTTTCTGGTCAACATTGCTGTCCATACTTGACAGAAAATACTTTGACCTTTTCAGTAAAGACTGTTTGAAGGTAGTACTTGAACTTCCCATGGTACTGTTAGGAATGGAGGGAGGAGCTGTAGCTGTCTAAATTGCCCACTACTTTTCCCAGGAATTATGACTTTGTCTCCCAAGAGAAAAGAAGTCTTGTGCAGCTGGCTGTCTGAGTGTATCACAAGACAATGGTGGTGCAAAACATACCGGCTATCATCTCTGGAGACGGTGGGGACCACTATCCTGGGGTAGCGCTGTAGGATCAGCACTGGACTGCAAACCACAAGGTCGGCAGTTCAAACCCACCAGCTGCTCCTTGGAAACCCTAAAGAGGGTCTCTGTGTATGTGTTGGAACCAACTTGACGGTACTTAACAATACATAAGGAGCCCTAGTAATATTGTGGATTATAGCAATTAGAATCGACCAGTGAGAAAGATGAGGTTTTATGCTCCCGTATGGATTTACAGACTTAAGCAACCCTATACAGGATCACCTTGAGTCAGAACTGACTCCACAGCACATAACCACATGTTAAGTGCTGTCAGCCAGATCTGACTCACAGTGACCCTGTGTAGGATTTCCAAGGCTTTTAAATTTTTTCAGGAGCAGAAAGCCTCATTTTTCTCACATGATGCGGCTGGTGAACTCAAACCATAAACCTTCTAGTTTGCAGTCCCATGCTTATAGTATGGAGCTACCTGTTGTTGTGAAGTGCTGTTGAGTCGGTTCCAACCCATAGTAACCCTGTATAGGGTTTTCGAGGAGCAGCTACTAAGCTTGAACCACTGAACCACTGACCTTGCAGTTCAAACGGCTTTGCAGTCTGGCACATTAACCCACAGCACCACACCAGGATTTCATGGAGCTGCCTAGAGGACTCAAAAAGATCCCCTATTCACAAGGCACTAATTGTATAACCAGAAGTCAGAACTCATGAAGCAAAACAATTAAATGTTCAATTATATGTAGTAAACTATGATGAGAGTCCTGGTGTGGCAATGTAAGATAAGCACTGGACTGCTAATCGCCAAGGTTAGCCATTCAAACCTACCAGCCACTCCTTGGAAACTGTATATCATCACTGTGAGGCAGAACCAACTCAGTGGCACTTAACAACAAACCAGTGAAACCAGAGTTTAGTGTGTTGGAGCAGAGATTGAGGGAAAAGGGGAAGAATATGGAAAGGTAGCAGAAAAGTGGGAATGGGAAAGATTGGGAAGTCCAGACTGAGGAACTAAACCCTGATGTGGGAGGAAACCAGAAACGGTGACCCGTTCCTAAATAGGTACTGGGTGGCATGATGGAATGACAAGAACATAAATAATATTTCATTGTACTGATTTCTCCAATAGATCTAAGGCAAGGAGATCCCTGTGGATTGGAACAGTGAGATAAATCCATGAAGGAGAAATGACAGCCCTGAGAGGTGGGAAGAATGGTGGTGGATTTAGGAAGGAGAGGCAGGGAAGAGGACAGGAAGATTTGTCAGTTGAGCAAACAGACCATCCAAGGAAAGCTATCAAGAGGAAGTTCTGGGCTGGCAGTTGTGGAATTGTCTGGAGGGACAAGGAGAGATGAAGAAAACAACTGCTGGTTGGAAAGTCAGGACTGGAGTTTGGGTGAGGGTGAGAGTCATGGATGAAGGGGCAGGTTTGGGAGTGATCTGCTCAGCAGTGGTAGTTGAAGTAATGAGTATAGAGTGGTTTGAAGTTAGTTCATTAAAAAAGGAGTGGTTAGCAGGAGCTGGGGACATAGGAGATGAAGAAGTTTACCTAGAAGAAGGACAGTGTGTAAGCTAGAGCTGAAAAGTAACACGTCCCTCAAGGGTTTGTGTTTTTATGACACAGAAAGAAAGAAAATGAGGGAACAATGGAAAGTAATAGAGTTCAGGGATCCTTTTAGGAATGAGATCCAAGGAAGTGAGGCAGTGGGTCCTGCATATAAAGAAGGAGCAGCTTCAGAGGAACCGGAGGAAACTCCACCTCCTGAGTGTTCAAGAAGCAGGTGAGGCAACTGCTGAGGTGTGGGGACTGAGTACGCATGAGAGGGAGGAAAGAGCAGTTCTGGACTGGCCACCACGTTAGCTGGAGGGACATTGTTGTTGCTGCTATTACTAGTTGCCACACCAGCCCCCAACTCATGATGGCCCCATGTACAAAATGCTGCCTGCTCCCCTATCATCCTCATGACCGGCTGTGAATGTGACCATTGTGATCCATAGGGTTGTCATTGATTTTTGGCAGGCTTTGTTTTCCTAGTTTATCTTACTCTGGAAGCTTCACTGAAATCTGTTTAGCGTCATAGCAATAGGCAAGCCTCCCAGTGATAGACAACCAACAGGGTGATGGCTATGTGTGAAGTACACGAAGAGGTGAATGACAGTATTGCCATGTGGCCACAAAGGTCCAGTTGAAGTATGACTTTGTGAATCGCATACTTGTAATGGGTCTGGGGCTCCATCTTCCTTCTACAGGGCTCTATGGCAAGAGCAGAAAAGTTCAGTTACTGATAACCCCAGCTGGGAGTTGACTTGAGTGCTGGAATGGGGTTGTTGTGGGTATTAAATTTGGCATTGTATGGGAAAGTACTCTTTCACCATATTTATTCAACCTGCATTCTTAGCAAATAATCTGAGAAACTGGATTATATGAAGAAAAACATAGCATCAGGATTGGCGAAAGAATCATTAACAACCTGCGATATGCAGATGATACAACCTTGCTTGTTAAAAGTGAAGAGGACTTAAAATACTATCAAAGAGCTCAGCTTTTGGTATGGATTGCATTTCAATGTAAAGAAAACAAAATTCCTACCAGTTGACCAATAAACATTCTTATCAATGGAGAAAAGATTGAAGTTGTCAGAGACTTCATTTTTCTCGAATCAACCATCAACACTCCTGGAAGCAGCAGTTAAGAAATCAAACAACATATTACACTAGGCAAATCTGCTGCACAAGACCTTTTTAAAGTATTGAAGAGCAAAGATGTCAGTTTGAGGACTAAGAAGCACCTGACACAAGCTATGGTATTTTCAATAACCTCATATGCTTGTGAAAGCTGGACAGTGAATAAGGAAGACCGTAAAAGAATTGATGCTTGGAGTTACGGTGTTGGAGATTATTGAAAGTGCCATGGATTGCCAAAAGAACAAACAGATCTGTGTTGGAAGAAGTGCAGCCAGAGTGCTCGTTGGAGACCACAATGGCCAGACTTTGTCTCTCATACTTCGAACATATTGTCAGGAGGGACCAGTCACTGGAGAAGGGCATCATATTTAGTAAGCTGAAGGGCCAGAGAAAAAGAGGAAGACCCCCAACAAGATGGATTGGCACAGTGGCAACATCAATGGGCTCAAACGTAGCAAGGATTGTGAGGTTACCCCAGGACCGGGCAGTGTTTCGTTCTGTTTTTGCATAGAGTTGCTATGATTGGTTCCGACTCAATGGCACCTAACAACAATGGAAAATACATCAGTACCTTGTCCACAGGAAGTGTAGGTAAGTGTAGACTATTACTAGTAGTAATATATGAAATGGCAATTGTTAAATGTCATTGAGTTGGTTCTGATTCATATTGAGCCTGCATAGGGTTTCTGAAGAGCAGCTGCTGAGTTTGAACCACCGACCTTGTGGTTCAAACCAACCTTGTGGTCGAGTGCATATCACTAGAACCATTAGGGAGTAGTTATGTGGGAGTTGGGTGAAGGGCCTTTCTGAAGAGCTGACTTGTCATCTGAAGATCCAGGACACTGGTGGGGATGTGGTGGTAATGAGAAGGGAGGACCTCAACAGAAAGAATGGCAGCAAAGGTCCTGAGGCAGGAGTGGGAGTGACCATTGTGGCTGAGGTGTAGAGTGAGATGGGAGAGGACTACCTCTCATGGAGCCTTACAGACTAGGATAAGGGACATTGTTTTCCAATACCAATAAGAAGCTTTAAAGGTTGAAATAGAGAAGTGCTTTTATCTGAGGCCTGGTCTTGGGAGCATCCCTCTGGCAGCAGCCGTGTGGAGAATAGACTGTGGAGAAAGCAGACGCTATGGGACTTTCCTTACGTCATATGTAGATGAAGGTAATCATAAGTCTTGTTCTATGGAACTCAACTGCTTTTCAGCCCATAGCTGCCCGAAGCATTTATTCATTTAGTCTCCCCCATTTGTTGAGAACTTTCTGCTAGGGTGCTCTTGGCTAGACTCTAGGAAGGTTATAAAGACAACTTTTGCCCCCAAGAGGGTGGGCAGGAGGGTGTCTGTGTCTGGGGCAGGGAGGGAGCTGAAGGCACCATCCCAGCCCCAGCATCGCTGCCTGCCAGTCTGGAATACTCGTGCCAGGATTGTCTTTGCTGCCAGGGAACACACGGTCTAGCAGGAGAGCCTTCCACACTGCCTATGATTCAGGACCCACTGCCAACCTCAAGACTGGTGGCCAGAGGGGCTGATCTGTGCCTATGCAGACCCCTAAAGGTGTTCTTGTCATGGACATTTGCAATGGGACCACAGCTATATATCTTCATTTTGAGCTCGTGAGAAACCACACTTCTACCATCAGTCCCTGGCATCGCATTAACTTATGCCTGACTCCCACCCTGCTGTGACCTCTTGTTTGCAAGAATGCCATGCCTTGTCCTTAGGAAACTTCCCCCTTCCTTAAGGACCCGCTCGGCCTTCCGCTTTTTATTCTGCTATCTGTACCCTTTCCTTTGTGTCCTTTCTCATCTTTTGACCTTGCCTCTTTGTGTTCTTGGTATTCTGTTAGTGGGGGTAGTTTGGGCCAGGGGACTCATACGTAGTAGCTTAGGCTCCAGGAGAAACATCTACGTGAAGTAGCTGGAGTTCTTTCTGCACATTTTCCCTTCGCTTTCTCCCAAATGCAGTCATTCACTGTTTGCTTCTGGCCCTACCCATCAGCTTACACCAACAACCAGGCGGACATCGCCACCCAGGGCTGGTTCATTGGGCTCATGTGCGCCATCGCCCTCTTGGTGCTGATTTTGCTCATCGTCTGCTTCATCAAGAGGAGTAGAGGCGGAAAGTACCCAGGTAAGGCCTGTGAAAAGGATCGGGCTGGCGAGTGGGGGCAAACAAGCTACCCTGTGACTCACCAGGTCCCTACCCAGACCTGGGATGCCCTGTGTTCTTCGTGCTTCCAGCCCTTGCCAAGGTTGGCCTCTGACCTGCTCATACTGTGCCTCTGTAGCCTGCCAGAAAGCACTAGAGTTAATGAAGTTCACCTGAGGTGGGAGGGGAAACCATCCAGGCAGGCCCAGAGAGGGGCTGGAAGGAACCCTGGCTCCCATTAAGAATGACCTTCCTTCCCCTTGACTCACCACCCCATCTGCTCAGTAAATTGGCCTTTTTTTTTCCGTTTAGCCTGAATCTCATTAGAATCCTGGGTCCCAGAGAAAGAGGAAGGGAGAGAAGCATTCTTCTAACCATGTCATAGAGAAGGGGAAAGGAGGGTCTGAACACAAGGAGATGCCCATGAGAAGTTGCAAAGATAGACACTCAGCGTGATGAGGGTATAGCCATAGTTACCTCTAGCAGAGGTTCAGGATTCTACCTCAGGAAGAGGTAGGGTAGGGCCCCCTATGGGCCTTCCAGGAGTCATAAATAAGTATTTCTTTTCTATAGGACTAGGGCTCACTCAGCCCAAACCAAGGTCGATGACAAGGACCTCTGGCATTCTTGTTTCTGGAAATATTGATTGCTCTTTACTCAGGGGTGAGAGAGCCATCTGTCTGAGACGGGTGGAAATGGGTGGTGGGCCCTGACAGGAGACAGGATAATGGATGACTTGGAGAGTAGAAACCCTCTGGACTGCAAGATGGAATTGCTTCCTGCACCCCAAAGCCCTGTCACTGTCACCATACACACTCCCTGATTCCCAAATGCCTGAGTCTTCCATCTCTGTGAGCAAGTCCTCCCTCAGGGTCCCTCCAAATGCAACACAAAGGAAACACAAGGAAGAAGATATTTCATCTGATTTCCTTCCTTCAGCCCAAGTACCCTCACTCCAGAATCCTGAAGAGTTATGCTTCTAATTTGAGTAAGGGAGGGCAGGAAATTATAGTTCTTTATCGGTGAGTGATATTTCTCTTTCATTTAGCTTTGCTATGGTAGAATTGTTTTTCTTACACACCACAGAAAGCCAACTTTCTGTCATATGTAAGAAAAAGGGAGGGATAAGAGTGGCTTTCCAGTTAACATTAAGACTTAGATAGATTCACTTGGCTCAACCCCCTATCCTTCAAAGCTCCTTTTCTCTAGCTACAGGGTAAGCCCCTGGTACATTAGAATGATGAGTGAACCAGGAGTCCCCTCTAGTCTTCATTTAGTTACTAATTAGTTATGTGACATCATCTTAACCTCTCAAGTTCTAGTAGCCATCACCTAAAATGGGGTGACCATCCTGCCTTGTACCTCTGAAAGGATATATGAAGCGTCCTTCATGTAAGGGCCTGAGAAGCATTTTTCTGAGAAATGCCAGGTTCTGTGCTGATGCCAGGGCTGCTAGAGGACAAGATGGTCTCTCCCAAGGCCATGTCAGCTGACACAAAGGAGCAATTGGCACAACAAGGCAAGGCCTGTCATAGAGGTGGTCTGGGAAAAGGGAAGCACTTGAACAGAGAATATTTCCTTTCATGGAGGTGTTTGGCCTGGCCTCTGTCCAAAGCACTGTGCTAGGGGCTCTGAAGAAACACACAGACCCCTACCCTCGAGGAAAGAGTTACAGGCATAAGAAAAATAATAATACACAGCAGAATAAGAAAAGTACAAACGATGTACTGTTTGGTATTGATACAGGAAAAAAAATCATCTAATTGGATTATGGGGAAGATTTAATGAGAGGCAGTGGGCAGAACAGGGAAGAGGAGATTTTGGTGGTCAGAAGAAAACTCCACTAGAATGGATTCCTGGTCCACTCATCATTTAAGAAAACCCGGGGATGAAAATTAACAGAATGAACACAACTTTGCAACTGATTGGGTGTGGGAAACAAGAATCAGGGAGGTACTGATGGTGCCTCATTGAACCCATGGCTGTGTCTCAGCCCTGGGAGCTTACATCTCAGGCATCTTATAACTGTGTCTTTGCTTCTTTTATTGACCAAGTTCGAGAAAAGAAAGATGTTCCCCTTGGCCCTGAAGACCCCAAAGAAGATGATGGCTCATTTGACTACAGGTATGTGATCTTCCTCTCCTGTGCAGGCAGACATGTCTTTCATGTGTCAGGTGCACTGTCCCCCCTATGTCCTTGGACAGCCTCTATGCCTCCAGAGCAGCTTAGTTGGCCCAGAGACCACTGTGTAGACATCTTCCCTGATTGGGCTCACATCTACTTGCTGAAGAGGGGTTGCTGCTAAATGTGCCCAGGAAGGCTGATCACCTCATGGTCTCCCCAGGAGACACACACACATTGCACAGGAGGGTCTGGACACAAGGAGATACCCATGAGAGATGGGTATATACAAAACACATTTCATTAATTCAGCTGCACAAGTTTTCTGTGTATGTGTTTCTATCTTTTTGACTCTGAGCCCAGTATTCAGACTTCCCCTCTGCCCAACCCCAACCCTGGATTCACGCCCCAGCAGGTTGTATTACCTTAGAGCCTCTCGTCGGTGTTAGGAACGATGGGGAGGGATTCTGGGCTTCCTGCCCAGGATCCTGAGCATATCTCTGGGCTCTAGACCAACTGGCTGAGGTTTGAGGAAGCTGTCAGGTGCCGTGTCCTATTTCACAGATGAGAGGACTGAGGCATAGGAAGTGACCTGCCCCAAACCCCTACACACAGCTTTCAGAGAACTCCGGCAGAGCTGACTTTCAGCTCTATGCCCATGCTCCTCCCAGATCTGTCAGTTTTGACTGACAGTATATTTTAAGGTAAGAAACAAAGCAGAGTGGTCATAGAGGTCTCATTCCCAGAAAAGACCAAACAGGATGGAAGGAAGCACTCTGACCTCTCAGGTCCTCCCTCTCTGACCATCAGCAGCCTGGCAAACAGATCATTGACAAACCAGAACCCCTGCCCCCACAGGAGCCTGGCTGGCCCCTCCTCCTCTCCTTCCCAGCTCTCCTGAGCCACCCCTGATAAGGTATGCTGTAGCCTTCAATTCCCAAGGCCGTGGGGGCTCCTGCCTTCTGGACCCTTTATGCAGCCAAAGAGGAGGGCAATGGCTGCCTCAGATATAGGGGTCAGGAAACATACATTCTGCAAAGCTGCTTCCTCACACACCTCTCCCTGCCCCCAGACACATTAAGCAAAAACACCTGCCTCCTCACCCCCCCAAACACTGAAGCCCGAAATCGTTAGGCACGTGTGCACATCAAAATCAACCCACACATGAACATGTGTGAATGTATGCGTATACATACACACCCAACATACCCACCTGCTTTAGTTCTAGGGGTCCGCAGGATCCATCTCATTTCTCGAGGGGAAGAGGGCCCCTGGGTGGTACAAGTACTCAAATGAGCCAAAGGTTGGAGATTTGATCCATGCAGAGCCACCTTGGGAGAAAGGCCTGGTGATCTGCTTTCAAAAAAACTTGCCACCAAACACTGTACCCATGAAGCACAGTTCTACTCTGATATACTTAAGCCACTTTATGGCAACTTACTTTTAGAAGGAGGATATGGTATTTTACCCTGGCCCACTTTGTGACCAGCCACTCTCTCATGGGACACTTTGTTTCTCTCTTGTGTGTCCTTGAAGGTCTCTGGGAAAGTAGGTTGACAGGTGGTGGACCAGGAGCAGGACCACTCCTAGTCATCCAGGTTCTTTCACACCTCCCTAGAAGTGTATGTAGCAAATCATTCCACTGCAGAACAGATAAGAAGGATTGAACACGGACTGTTTCATTTTTGGAAAAGGAAAAGATGACATCTAGTAGTGTTTGGGGAAGACTTGAAGAGTGTGGTGGGATCCCGGGGTGGGGAGAAGTCTGTTCTTCTTAGACTTCAGTCCCCCTTTCCCCTTCAAGAATCTAATCCCCTAAAGGCCCTTACTCTTACCTTTGATCCCCTAGAGCCCAGGACCTTGCGTTTGTCAAAGGTGGAGCCATCTCCTACAGTCACAGAAGGCAGAGCTGGTCCAGTCCCTCTTGGGCGGGAGACTAAGCCCAGGGAGGAGAAAGGGCTTTCCCAGGGTCACAGAGCCACAGAGGGGGACACTCAGGATTGGTGTTGTATGCTGGTGAGTCAATTCTGACTCATGACAATCCTGTAGCGCAGAGTAGAACTGTCCCATAGGGTTTCCTTCACTGTAATTTTTACAGGAGCTGACACTAGGTCTTTCTCCCACTGGGTGGGTTCAAACCATCAACCCTTGTGCCACCAGGACTCCTTCATATCCCACATAGCAAGCCCCTGGTCCCAGCTCTGTACCAACCTCACCCTTGCCCACTCTAGGCCTCAGTTTCTCTTCTGTGAAACTGGCTGGACAGGGAGGGCTGGATTGGTTGAGCTCTAATGAGGACAGGCCCTTCTTGTCTGAGAGATAGGCAGCATCTGTCCTTGTACCTGCCCCCATTGGGCTTGGGCTGGATCTGCTCCTGATTCTATGTCTTTCTGGCCAGCGATGAGGACAACAAACCCCTGCAGGGCAGCCAGACATCCCTGGACGGCACCATCAAGCAGCAAGAGAGTGACGACAGCCTTGTGGACTATGGCGAAGGCGGCGAGGGACAGTTCAATGAGGACGGTTCCTTCATCGGCCAGTACACTGTCAAAAAAGACAAGGAGGAAACTGAAGGCAACGAAAGCTCTGAGGCCACGTCCCCTGTCAATGCCATCTATTCTCTGGCCTAACAGAGCCCACCCTGGCACAGCCGCTACTTTGCAAGTGGGAGGAGGGGAGAGGGGGAGACAAAACCGCTGCAGACCTACCACAAAACCACCACCACTTTCAGGGACAAGGGCACAATATGGAGGGTCTGCCAAGCTGTGAGGACCAGTGACCACCCAGCCAACCATAGACACCCTACACCCTCCAGCGACTCTCCCACAAACACCCTGGAGCTGTGGTCAGTGTGGCTGAGCTAGAGCCATGGTGAAGCTCAGCTGGAGCAACCCAGCTCCTTTGCTCAGTCCACGGCCCCTGAGCTTGTCCCCACACTGCCCAGCCCTGACCTCAGTACATGCCACTGATGACCTGTTGGTTACAGTACTTTCCACTGCCTTCAATTTCGCTTTGTACACCTTCCCCTCCAGACCGAATGTCTCCATTTTCTTTTCCTTTGGAGAAATGTCCCTGGAAAAAGGAAGAATAGGTGGATTCTCCCCCAGAAAACCGCAAAGATCAGCAAAAAAGATTGATTGGTCACAGAACATAATAGAGAAGCTATAGTATTCAAGCAAGCACCAGGCCAATGTATGTCCAAAGGATGCCTTTCTCGCCACATGCCTCCCTTTGCTCCCACCCCATCCTCCTCAGCCTTGTCAGTTGCTGAGCTGGACTTGGCTCCTTTCTGGAAAATGACAGTATTTTTTAGCAGGGAGAAGGTGGTCAGGCCTCCCTGCCTCTCTCTGATTCAGTTGGGAGGTGGGTTTATCTCTTACCTCCGCTCTGACTTTGCCCCTTCCTACAGAGTATCCACGACTTGAGCTGCTCTGACACCGAGGAAGTGAAGGGATGGGAGTGAGACTGAACTCCAGCAACCTCAAGCAGAAGTAAATCAGGTGTCTGGTCCCTGGAGAGTTGTGCCCACCTCTTCAGAGGCAGCCAAAGGCTCTAGGTTGAAACTGTCTTTCTCCTCAGTTGTGAATCCCAGGCTGGAGGAGAGAAGACCATCCCCACTACTACAGGGTGCCCCCCAAACCTGGCCAGGGGTCTATGCTACTACCCCTCAAGGAAATGAAGCCCTGTGATACAGAAGTTTGTGTTTGAAGGCATTGGTTCTGTTCCCGTCTTGTCTCTATTGTCTCCTCTGTCAATTCAAACAGACTTGTGTTTTACATGGTGTGTAAATGGGGACCTGCTGCCCCCAAGACTGACCCCATCTGTCCTTTCATCTGGGTATTTACTATCAGGAGACCCTAGGGTGATGCTGTGCAATCTAGCAGTGCTGTAATGCCACCACCTGGGGAAGGCTCCATGCTCTTCGTATGCCTTATGCAGCTCTGGTCTGTCCCGGGAGTCCCCAGCTTCCCAGTCCCTCCCTGTAAGCCTTGAAGCCTCCAAGATGTCTGTCTGTCTCATGGAGAACGGGGCAGCCTATGCAAGCATCACCGCAAGACCAGGACCAGAAGCAGCCACTCCACTCATCCCCTGCAGCCTGTTACCCCAAATGGAGATCCTCACAGACCTGCAGTCCTCGAGACCGAGGGTGCTGCCTTCCTTCTCCCCAGCTAATCCATGTCTGAAACCAAAGGTACCTAGCCTCAGAAACAGCGTGAGAGGTCTGGAGCCTAAGTACAGCCCTATTTCTACAGCTCAAGCCAGTTTCTGAAGGGTGAACCACCTCTCCCAGGCACAACCTCTGATGTGAGCCTCCAGCCACCTGCCAGGCACCTAGGCAAGAACAAGGCTGGACTTCAGAGACTATTAAACCATCATTTGCCACATGTGAAGCCACAATGGTATTAGCAATGCTCACATCACTAAATAATAATCATCGGGTGAGGGTTAATTCATAGACACACACTGTCTGCAGGTAAGAAGCTGTAACCCAGAGCTGAACCACTAACATTGTTTGAACCTGATGGTAGCTATCCTTTAGCCTAAGCAGAGGCAAGCTCAGCACCAGGCCCACTGTCTGGAAGGCCAAGGGACAGCTTGAAAGGGGACAGGGTAAATAGCAGGAAGCTGGGGAGTGAGCTCAGGGATCCCTTCTCCTGGGCTTCCTCCAACACTTGCTTGGATGCAGTGGGATCTCCCTGCCACCCAGGCTCATTGTCCATGAAGGGGATGTCAGGGAAGCATACCTGTGAGCCAATTCAAAGGACTGGCTTTTCCAGAAACTGCTCTGGATGTGAGCGGAGCAGTCTGTGTATCTCAGGCCCGCATACTGCACCCAAGGCATTAGTGAACTCATGCATAGATCAGGATCTGAGGGCAGGAGAGGCCTGGTACATGCCTGCCTACCATCCTCCTGCCTCTAGGAAAACCTGCCCCCACATTGATAACTAAGGAATGGGAGAAGGGAGTCCATAACTGTCCTTATCCTCGCTCCAGTGTTTGTCAGTCTCAGTACTGTCCCCACCCCATGTCCAAACTTAGTATGTGAGCCCTGCTGAGGTTGCTGTACTGTTTCTCTGTGAGTGTAAGAGCCATTCATGCTTCATCTCCCCACCGCCACCCCATGGCCACAGCCCTCCTGGCAGGAGCAAATCTGGGCTGAAGAACCAAATGTTCTCCAGGCAAAAATAGCAAGTGCTAGAGAGCTGACATCTGAGGTACGTGGACTCACAGCGTTAAGGAGGCAGCCCTTCATGAAAGCAGTATTGTCCAGAGGTCCTTACCTGTTGGGCCTCTCAAACCATCACCTATGTCATGCCACAGCGATGCCAGAAGAGGTGATAACTGTTGGTGCTTCTGTCTGTCTGGCTGGCTGGAAGAGAAAGGGTGCAGGTCAAACTTCCATGATACTAGAAGTCCATGGACCATGCTGCAATCCCATCCCAGCTACTCAGCCATAAGAACTGGGGCTTCCTGTGCCCACAGCTGTCCATTCATTCATTCAGCAAATGCTCTTTGAGCATCTAACCTGAGCCAAGCCCCGAGCCAGGCACCAGGGATACCACAGGGAACAAATAGGATATGGGCCCTGCCACCATGGGGCTGACCTTCTATCTTAAAATGGGGTCTTAGGATGCATTGGCAGTTGAATTGGGTTCACTCTGCTCTCTGAGTACCTAAATCTGATGGCTCTAAGCTCAAAGGGAGAGACCTCAGAGGAAGAACTTGATCAGTCTGGTCAGCAAGGCTGAGCAGAACAGGGCAGTCACATCCCGGAGGGTAGAGTGGAGGAATAGTCCTGCTTCTTGAACCTCTTTGTGCTGCCTGCTGGGGCAAGCTGCTTAACCTGTCTGTATTTTGGTGCCTCTTTCTCTCCCATCCAATCCCTCCATTGAAGGCTTCTCTCCACAGAGGGCCATAGGACCATCAGAAGGAGCAGGAAGGTAGTATCTGGGGAGAACACCACTGTAGACCAGGGAGAACTACCTCCCACCTTGCCTGGGCTAAGATGAAGCGGACCCATCTTTCCCTACCTTTTGAGATGGTTGCATTTAAGTTAAAGGAAGAACCAGACTAGCTCTCATCTCATCCCTTTTCTGTTTCCTTTGCCCTGAACTGTTGGAGGCATCTGTTCCCCCTTATTCCTGGCAAGTCCCAAGGTCTGGAGACAGGTCCAAGTGTCCGAGGGTCAGCGAGTGCCAATATTGCTCACCCTGCAAGGTGCATCTGCAACCTGAGCCCAGACGTGGCATTCAGACTCCCCAAAACACAATCTTGGAAAGTGGGTGGAAACTGAGGGCACTCATGGGTTTTCCAGCTCAGAGAGAACCTCCCGGTCCCAGACACACAGAGCAGCCTGCAGCGCACTGCTGAGCAGCACGTTCAGATTCACAGGCTGTCTGAGCGAGCGTTAGTCCGTGTCCAGACCCTTGGAGAGGAAATGCAAAGGACTTTGTGGTGTTGTGTGTGCAGCTTGGATGGAAGAGGCTGCCCAGTTTGGGGCCTATTTGGGTGATTTCTTCAGAATGTGGAGAGAAAGAACGTGCTGAAAAAGGAGGGAAACATTCCACAGGAGGAGCACTGAGAGTACTAACCCTGCAGCCACACTTCCTGAGCCACATGCGGGCCAGGGCCAAGCATTAGGGTAACACAGGCGCCCATTTGATTAAAAGAATGGGGATTTAACATATTTTTGTCATTCTTTGTAAGAAGGCTTCACCAATGCTCTGAAGCTTCTCAGCTTTTCCATCTGCCATGGCTGGGAATCAGTTCTCAGTGAGCGGCAGTTGCTTCCTGGGATGTTAGCACAGAGCACTGCACCTCAGTGTGGACTGACCCTTCCACCCACTTACAGCTCTGGCCAACGCCTACCAAACACACTCAGGCCTGTGGTTGGGTCAATGCGCCCAGTTAGGTCCTCTGGAAAGAAACCACCCAGAGATACAGAGGTTTGTATGGGAAGTTAGGAGTAGCATCCAAGTGATCCCTGATTTTAAATATATATCATAGCAGAGAGGCAAATCAATGTCCGGAGGAGATTCAGTGTCTGACAGCAGTACAAGTGGGTTGGAGCCCAGTTGCTGTGTAGTCCCTTCCGTTAAACCAGCCCTTGTATCTCCATCCTACCCATCCCAAGTCCAGGGCAGTGTCCTTTGCTAAGACAGGTTCAGAGAAGGAACAGAACAGAAGGAGGATGCCTACCCAGGAGAGTCACGAGACCCACTACACAGTGTCTCAAGTCACACCTGAAACCAGAGCTCCTCTTCTCAGTATATTAGTGTTGAGGGTAGAAATGAAATCGGGACAAAGGCTTAGAACTGAATCAGATGAAGGACCACACATCTGATGTCATTGAAATGACTCATTATTCAGACAAGGAAACTAAAATCCAGGAAGTTAAGAGACTTGCCCAAGATCACACAGCTAGTAAATGCTAACATTAGGGCTCGAACTTGAGCCTTCTGACTCCTTGTCCAGTGTTCTTTTATCTCACCACAGCTGCCTCCTTTGAAACAGGTGTTAACTGAAGATCTATTCTGCTGGTTAACACTCAGCTTTTCTTTACCTGTTATCTTCCCACCCACCTCCAAAATGAAAGACAAAAAGGGGTTTTCTGAGTCCAAGGTCAGTC